CTACGTCAGTTCTTTTTGCTTATCTCTTTTTCTGTTACAAGAGAAGACCCATTTGGTGATGTAGGGGTGGCAATATTCTAGAAAGACTGTGATGGGAAAATAAAAGGCATAAATAACATTTGTTTTTAAAAGAATTGAACTATCACGTAAACAATCCTAAGCAAGATTATGGGGAGATCCAGCTTTTGCAGCTGATTTGGATGAACCAGACTCAGAAATCATTAAAGAACACTCAGAGGCAGCCTGGAATTACGTGTGGAGAGATCAAGAGGCCTCAAAACCGTTTGGAAGATTTCTTGTAGGAAGGGAGACTTGAGCCGGTTTAAAAATGCAAATCACCCTGCAAAGAGAAACACCAGAGAGGAAGAACCTAGGAAAGGATGTGGTCTAGGGCCTATTTGGAACCATAGCTGGGGAGTTTGGGATGGAGGCCATGGGAGAGAGGCCTCACAGGGCATACCATCATGCCTCTGGTCACAAGGGCAGACCTCAAGGGAGCACTCTGAGCTGCCTTTCCACCTGCCTCCTACAACAGACTTCTCTCCCCTCTTCCACATCCCACATCACTGAGAAGTTTCCCTGAGCTCTCTCCTACATCACTCCTGTCTCCCATGAAGAGGTGGTCCTTCTCCTTGCCAAGGCAAACCCTCTACATGCACAGCTGAGCCCATTCCATCCCATCTTCTCTGGCAGATTCCCTCCTCTGTTATCCCTTCTCTCTCACTAATTTTCAGTGTCTCCTTATTTACTGACTCTCTGTTTGCCACAAAGATGTCCACACCTTCCCCAGCCTTTAAAAAAAATCCATAATTGATCTAACCATTCTTGTTAGTGATCCTTGCATATATCTCATCTCCCCTTCTCAGCTAAACTCTGAAGAAAGGAACTTCAGACTCTCCTGGGGCTTTGGGGACACCCACCTTCTTGACTTTTCTGCAGCCTTTGATGCTGCCAACCACTCTCCTGGGTACTCTCTTCTTACTAAGTTTCATAACTTTACTTTCTCCTGGCTCTCCTCCCACCTCTCTGACTGCTCCTTCTCAGTCTCCTTTGGTGGGTCTTCAGCCATGTCATACTCACTCGTGATGGCTTTTCTATCTAGATTCAGTCCTCAATTCTCTTCTCTTTTCCTTCTATTCTATCTCACTTGATGATCTCATCAGATTCTATGGGTGTGATTATCATCTCTGCACAAATGACTCCCAGATCTATGAAGCTAGCCCTGATGTCTCTCCTGAAGTCTAGTTCTAGTATCACCCTGACATCTTGGAATCAGTTTCCCCATAAGCATCTCAAACTCAACATGTTCAAAAGAGTACTCATTATCTTCCCCCACAAAATCCTCTTCTCCTCCCAATTTCCTCAATACCATGATCCTCCCAGTCACCCAAGCTTATAGCTTCAATGTCCTCTCCTCTTCACTTGAACTGACCCCACATATCCAGTCTATTGTCAAATTTTGCAGTTTTTACCTTTACAACATTTCTTGTCCACTTATACCACATTTGTACCTCTTACCTAGACCCTTAAAATAGCTTTCTAATTGGTGTCCCTGCCAACATTCTCTCCCCACACCAATGCATCCTTCACTTAGATGCTATGATATTCACAACAAGGTGATTTTCCTAAAATACAGTTCTGGCCATTTCGCTTCCCTACTCCATAAACTCCAGTGGCTCCCTATTACCTTCAGAATCAAAGTCCTTTGTCATTTGAAGCCCCTGACCATCCAACCCGTTCTTATCTTCCTTGTCTTCCTACATTTTGCTCCCGTCTATACATTCTGTGGTCTAGATACATTGACCTCGTTGCTATTTCTCACACAGGACATTCCATCTCCCTACTCCATGCCTTTTCACTAGCTGTCCCCTCTTTCCCCTCACTCCATGCCTACGATGTTCTTCCTCCTCACCTATGACCCTTAGCTTCCCTGATCTCCTTCAAGATCCAGCTCAAATCCCACCTTCTGCTGGAAGCCTAATTCTGCTTACCTCCCTCCCCCAAACCTTCCCTCTGAGTTTATTCTCTTGACTGTGTATCATCTATACATACATAGTTATTTTCACTCTGTCTCTGTTAGAATAGGAGCTTCTTGATGGCGAGGTCAGTGTTTTTGCTTTTCTTTGCATACTTAGCACAGTGCCTGGCATACAGTAAGCACTTAATAAATGTTTATTGACTTTGATGCAGAGTCAAGAGACCTGGGTTCTAGTCCCAGCTTTGCCTCTTACTAGCTGCAGGAGCAAATCCCTTACCCGCTCTGAGCCTACAGTTTCCTCATCTAAAAAATGGGGATAGGGGCTGCTATGTGGTGAAGCAGATAGAGCACTGGCCCTGGATTCAGAAGGACCTGAATTCAAATCCAGCCTCAGGCACATAGCACTTACTAGCTGTGTGACCCTGGGCAAGTCACTTAACCCCAGTGCCCAACAACAACAACAAAAAAAATCAATAGAAAATGGGGGTAATAACATTAACAGTGCTTGCATCACAACGTTAAGAGAAAAGCTATAAAGACTAGCTGTCCCCTGAGGTAAAGGGGACATTTATAGTCAGTACTAGGCCTGATAAAAAAATGGAATGGTTCTCACCAGCTTCACCTTTGGACAAGGCATCATTGAGGCAGAGGACATCTGGTGATATCTATTTGTTACTCTCATTTTACCAATGGTAAAAACATAACCCAGAGCCAGCGCAAGGAAATGTCTTGGACGGGATCTCCATAGCAGGTTATCAGAGGGCCTGGAATTAGAGCTCAGATTTTTTGGTGAAGAGCTCTTTTGACTCTAGGGGACACTGAGAATGTCCCCATCCTTAAAGCAGTCTACCTTGCTCTATCTAGTAAGCTTGAAATCCATTTTGACAGAAGCAGGTTCATAGGACTATGGATTGTTAGAACCAGAAGGAACTTAGCTCTAACTTAACCAGATCATTGAGTTCCATTTCATACTTTGTCCTTTATTAACATACTAATCCCCCTGGGAGGGGTCCAAATGCTTAACAGGATTGTCATTGACAGAGATGCTGGAGTAAGAGTTAACCTGACTTTCCACAGAGGACAGTGTGTCAGTGGGGTTGAATGGGGAGAAAAAGGCCAGTCTGACTGAGAGAGTAGGTGACAGGGAGTGATACCTAATGAGGCTGGAAAGGTGGGCTGGGGGCTGGGGGAAGGGTCTGATTTTGCTTCTAGAGGCAATAGGGAGCCCCTGGAACATGGCAATGGCACGATCAGCCCCATGCTTTAGGATGCTTATTTTGGCAGCCCTCTGGAGGGGAGAGAAGAGATTGAAAGCAAGGAAGCAAGAGTAAATGAGTCCAGGACACAGGTGAGGAGATCCTGAATTAGCATGATTGGAGACTCAGCAAGACCTGGCAACTGAATGGGGGGGGGGGGCAGAGAAGTAGAGAGAGTAGAAACAGGGTAACTCCGACCGGGAAACCTGGGTGAGTGGAAGGATATTAGCAGAGACCTTCAACTAAAATAAGGCAGCTTGGAAGAGCGAATGGATTAAAGCTGAGCAGAATGACTTTCATTTTGGTGATGTTGAGTTTGGAATGCCCATGGGACATCCAGATAACCCACAGCAGCTGCCAGGACTGGGCTGTGAATGGAAGGGAAGGTTATTTCACTGCTGATTGAGCACTGCTTTGGAAAAGCACTTTGGAATTAATAAGAAACATTACTAAATCATTCATGCCCTTTAACTCATAAACCCCCCTCAAGTATTTCATGACAGGAAGAAAAGGCCTTCCTATAAAAAAAATAGGCATCATTTATAATAGCTAAAAGGTAGACGCAGCTAGGTTGCCCAAGGGATAGAGGGCTGGGTTTGGAGTCAGGAAGACTTGAGCTCAAATCTCACCTCAGAAACTCTAGTCAGATGATGCTAAGCAAGTTAACTAACCTCAGCCTGCCTCAGTTTCCTCATCTGTAAAAAGGGGTGATAATAGCACCTACTTAGGGTTGTTGTGAGAATTAAATGAGATAATATTTGTAAAGCACTTAATGCAGTGCCTGGCACATAGTAGGCGCTTAATAAATGCACGTTTCCTTCCTTCTTAAAAGCTGGGTGCAAAAACTATGCTTCATGATTGAAGAATGACTGAACAAATATAGCATGTGGTAATGCAATGTTGCTGAGCCATCAGGGATGAGGAGTTTGAAGAATTCAGAGAATCAGAGGAAGTGATGAGGAGTGGGGAACAACCCCCACAATGACCTCAATGCAAATGAAGTCTGTGCTAAAGGCAGTAAATCCAGATTGGATGCAAGGGATGGTGTGCCCTGCTTACTGCTGAAAAGCAAAACAAACCCTGCTTTATAAAAGCAGGAAGTGACATGTACTGAGTCTCAATCTATCTATTAGGGAATTTGGTTTAAAGTTTTTTGTTTTGTTTTGTTTAATTACGAACTCTAGTCAGAGAATATGAATTCTGGTTGTTTGAGCTTTGGTTGGGAAGTAACTAGGTGGTGCAGTGGATAGAGTGCCAGGGCCTGGAATCAGGAAGACTCATCTTCCTGAGTTCAAATCCAGCCTCGGGCACTTAACTAGCTATGTGACACTGGGTAAGTCACTTAACTCTATTTGCTTCCGTTTCCTCTTCTGTAAAAAGAGCTGAAAAAGAAAATGGAAAACCTCTCCGGTATCTTTGCCAAGAAAAGCCCAAATATGGTCTGGAAGAGTTGAATGTGAATGAACAGCAGCAAATGGGAAGGATCTGTTTTGTCAAAACAAAATGAATAAATGCGATTACCTGCAATTTACCCTACATGTGTCTTGTTTGTATGTAATTGTTTGTATCTTGTCTCCCCCATTAGAATGTGAGCTCCTTGAGGGCAGGAACCATTCTTTGTATTCTCAGCACTTCGCTCAATAGCTCAATTAGTATTTGTCGAGGGAGGGAGTGAATCATTCGGATTTAAGGGTCAGGTTACACATATAAATAAATATCCATCTACAACTCCTCCTTAGCCCTAACTTTTGGCTTTGCCCTTCCAGGTCCATAACCACCCGCCATGAGAATAGCCATCATTGGTCAGAGCCTGTTTGGCCAGGAAGTCTACACCCGACTCCGAAAGGAAGGTCATCAAGTGGTGGGAGTATTCACCATTCCTGATAAGGATGGGAAAGCAGATCCACTGGGTAAGCCAAGCTTGGCACCTTACACACAGTGGGCTCTTAACCAGTGTTTGCCAAATGGAAATGATTTATTATGTCTACAGGGCTGGCAAGAGGCAGCCTAGACTGGAGATCAGAATCATGTGAGAATCAGGCCTCAGTTAGCTGAGAAACCAGCCAGACCAGCTGTAGCCAGGACTGGGAGGCTTGACAGACCTAGCAGGAAAATCTTTAGCAAGAGACAATGGGAACCAGTCTAGATAAATCAATTCTCATCAACAAGAGACAGGGGTGGCTACTCCAGTAAGAGGAAGGAGGGTGTCCTTAGTAAGGGGTGTCAAGCAGCAGGTTTGGAAAGGTAATTCATGACAGAATGAAAAGCAGATTATTTAATTAATAGAAGAATAATTCAGAAAACTCCAAGGGAAGGGGCAGGGACGGGGCACAGTGGCTGAATGTAGCACCTAGTGAGAAGAGGAGTGTTCATTTGTCTGTGATCAAGGGGATGCTGTGTTTGGTACCCCATGCCAGTGTGCTTAGCTAGTCCAGAGGTGGTTACATCTGTCCTGGGGCACAGAAGGGCTTCCTCAGAGGAGAGGGAGAGGAAGAAAGGAGGAAGAAAAGGAAGGAAGAGAATCAAATGATAGAATAGACCTCTACAAATCCCTCTGCATCTTCCACAGCACTGGAGGCAGAGAAGGACCATGTGCCAGTGTTCAAGTTTCCCCGATGGAGGGTGAAAGGGAAGGCCCTGCCTGAGGTGGTCGAGCAATACAAGTCCCTGGGAGCCCAGCTGAATGTCCTTCCATTCTGCAGCCAGTTCATCCCCATGGAGGTCATCAATGCACCTGAACATGGCTCCATCATCTACCACCCTTCGCTCCTGCCCCGGCATCGGGGAGCTTCAGCCATCAATTGGTAAGAGGGTAGGAGCCTGGCAGAGGCCAAAGGCCAGCTCACACCTTTCCTTCCCAAGCAGATCTGGCTCTTACACCCTCCACTGAATAGATGGAGTGGGACACACTAGGCAGTGCCCTCCTTCCTAAGTTTGTCAGGCACAAGGAAACTATTATTACTGATTTACTTCTTTGGTTAAAATTACCTCTTCCAGGATCTCATTTTTAAAATGCCAGAACTCTTCGGAGGAGAAGGGTGTTAAGCCACCTGGACCTGAGTGTGAATCAGTGTATTGGGAGTGCTTTCTTTTAAGGGTAGAGCACAAGACAGTACATTTTTATCCTTTATCATTTGCAAAGCCTTTCTCATCCGTGACTACATTCCATCCTAACTGAGGCATTGTAAGAAAGGCAGGGGTGAGGGTTATTATCCAAACTAAGAGCCAGATAAGGGAGGTAACATGTCAAAGGTCATGAGAGCCAAGGCCGTGAGCACTTGGTATACTTCCTCATGGCTGAGAAAGGCTAGATTGAAAATGGCATTACCTATTTCATAAATTTTTCTGGAGCTAGGAGGGTGGGCAGATATATCTTGGGGGAATATTAGAAAGAGAAGCCTACAGCCTGAAGAGGAAGAGGTAAGTTGGGGAACTCCTCCGTCCCCCAGAGGAGCACATCCTGATGCATATGCCCCTTAGGGCTTTCTTTAAGTGGTACTTAACCTTTTGTAGGGAATACCTTGAAAATGAGGGGAGCTGCACCCCCTCCTGGTAGCCCCATTCCAGGGCTGCTGTGGGAGGCTGGCTGTTCTCTGACACCTATGGGCCCCTGATGCCCTCTGCAGGAAATAGAGGAGAGGGAAGGAAGAAGAGCTCTTTCTGGTCTGCAGAAGCCAGGGGACAAATGAAACCCCAGGTGAGGATTATTCGAGAACATAGACCCAGTTGTATCATTCCTCTTCTGAAAATAATAACATTTACCACGAAAAGTTAAACTCCTCGGCTTGGTATTCAATGTCATGCTTCCTTCCCATCCAATTTTATCTCTTATTAATCCCTTCCACACATTCCTAGGGGAAAGGAGCAGGAGCCTAGAGGTCTCTGCTCCAAACAGACTGCACTTTTCTGTCCTGCAAAGATACCATGTACTTCTCCACCTCTGGGCCTTTGCTCATGCTATGGATTGCTTGGATTGCCACCCAACCTCCTCTTCACTTGCTGAGTTTCTAACCCATTCTTTAAAGCCCGAAACTGCAGCCATCAGTCCCTAGAAGGTTTCCCTGACTCCCCCCAATCAGGAGCAACTTTCCTTTTGGGATCTCCCATAACTCTTGGTCTTTTATCTCTCTAATACACCATATATAACGGTTAATCTGGATAGATAGATAGATAGATAGATAGATAGATAGATAGATAGATAGATATAGATATGCTTGTGTGTGTGTGTATGTGTATTATCCCCCTACTTGATTATAAGCTCCAGGGACAGTAGCTTATACACACTCTCCAGAACCTACCTAGTAAGTGCTAGATGCTTAGTAAATAAATGTTTGTTGCATTTTTAATTGCTGAAGACAGAGGCAACAGCAAGAGAACACCTTAAGCTTGGAGGCGATGTAGTGTAATGGAAAAGGCAGTAAATTGGAACTGACAGGACCTGGCTTCAAATCTCAGCCCTGGCACCTACTAGCTTGACAGCATACCTCCCAGAGAATTAAAAAAATCTCAGAGTCAGAAGTGACTTCAGAGATCATCTGGTCCAATTTGTGCTTGAGTGATAATTCCTTCTTAAATTGACAAATGACAGCCTCCAGATTGAGTGGAAACCCACTGCTTCCCAAGGCAGCCCCTTCCACTTGGGGAGAGCTCTATTTGGGAGGATCTTTGATGGATCTGGGGTCTCCTCAATGTTGTTATTCCCACCAATGATGCAGGTCTCAACTCATCCATGCCTGCCTGTCCTAAATCATTTGCCTCTCTGCAGCTTCCATCCATCAGTCAATCAACAAAAGTTTAAGTGCCTACAATGTACCAGGTGCCCATCACTCCTGGTTTCACCTTCTGCGGCCAAGCAGAATAAAGGTAGTCTCTCTCCTCCATGACCACTCTTCAAATACTAAATGAGAGTTACCAAGTTCCCCGACTCTTCTGTTCTACAGATTATCCCTGATCCTTTTAGCCAGTCTCTTTGTATGGATAACACACTCTCCATTCTTCTTAGCATACTGCTTGCCCTCTCCTAGATAGTTTCATTATCACTAAAATCAGGATAATAACCTTTGTCCAACTTGTCAGGGTTGTATTAAAAATGTGTCTTGTAAAACTTAAAATGGGCTATTGTCCTTCCTGCCCTCAGGACCCTGATCCATGGGGATCGGAAAGGAGGCTTTACTGTCTTCTGGGCAGATGACGGCTTGGACACAGGAGACATCCTGCTCCAGAAGGAGTGTGAAGTTCTGCCTGATGATACCGTGAGCTCACTCTACAATCGGTTCCTCTTCCCTGAAGGGGTCAATGGAATGGTAATTTCTTTTCTTTTAAGAGAAAGGTTTTATTCACACTTTAAAAAAATAAAACAATCATTTCTAGATATATACTCCACTTCCCATCCCACCCTCAATGTGACTCCCTTCTAACAAAGAAAAAAACAGTAAATTAGAATCAAGTGACACAGTCCATGTCTGACAGTGTATACACCATACTCATGTACCTGAACCGCCATCTCTCTAAGGAAAAGAAGGAGGGGTATGTCATCATTTCCTTTCCAGAGCCAACATTGGTCATTACAGTCATACGGTGTTGGATTTCATTTAGCATTCTGTATACTTGCATTATTGTAGTTTATATATTGTTTTCCATGATCTATTTCATTTGACACCAGTTCATATAATCCTTCTACATTTCACTGAATTCCTCATGTTCACAATTGCTTATAATATAAGAATATACCACTATGTTCATATACTACAATTTGTTCAGCGATGGGATGGTAATCACTGAGGTCAGCCTCCTCCTGAAACATCCTCCACCTTAATGAAAACAACCTACTCTATTCTGCAAGATGGACATTAAGGTCACAGGGATCCCACTCCAGCCACGCTTCTCACGTGGTAGCCACTAACAGTGATAGCAAGGTGTGCAGTGGGATGGACAATTGGTCTGGTCTCCCATGGCATTTCCTATGTCTCCATGAATCCCAGAATATTCTTGTGAAAACTTGGGGGCTATTCTGATAATGGCATCATTTTTATTTCCAATAATCATGATTATTGGAAGCAACATGGTGCAGTGGAAAGAGTATTGACCTCAGAGTCAAATCCCCAGTTTTGTGACCTTTGGCAAGTCACTTAAACATTCGGGGTCTCAGTTTCCTCGCCTGTAAAATGGGTGAGCTTTAGTCATAGGTTGATATATTTAGAGCTAGAGGGGAAATCAAAGACCAGCTCCTTTATCTGACAGATGAGGAAACTGAGGCTCAGAGGGTTTGTGACTTTCCCAAAATTATAGAGGCAGTAGTAGCACCAGAGGCAATATCTGAACCCAAGCCCTTTTGACTAGAGACAGGACTGTCTCTACTATGCACACATCCTCCTTGGGAGCTCCCTTGTTTCTTTTAAGAGGTCTGGTCATTTGTCCTTGGCTCATGGTATGAAAAGTTGGAGTTACCAAGTGATTCTTCCAGTGTGGAAACTACTTTCTGAGCCCATGTGATCTGATTGTCCAAAAAGCAAACAGGACCTTAGACCTCCCTGGTTCCCCTTGTTCAGTAATCATTCCCCTTTGGATTTCATGCAGCCCTTTGTTTTGTGCCTCTCTGGTGTATTATATAATATTGTATAGTATAGAATCATAAAATCATAGGTTGGAATGGACCTCAGAAGGCATTTAGTACAACCTCCTGTGACTGTCAAAATCCTCCCCACAACATCTCCATCCTCTCCTTTAACACTTCCAGTGATGGGAAACTTATTACCTTCTGAGAAGTCCCTTGCCATTATTGGACAGCTCAAATTGTTAGATCTTTACCTAACAGAACTTTGGAATGAGGGAGTAATAATCCTGCTCTACTCAGACCACAGCTCGCCTATCATGCCTCCTTCTCTGTACCACATTTTAGGGGTGTCTCTGGCAAAAAGAAGGTGTCTAGAGAAGGGAAATCAGGCTGAGTAGAACTTGGAGCCATGTCTCATGAGGGACGATTGAAGAATCTGGTTGGAGATGAAAAGATTTTTAAGAGGAACATGATATTTTTCTCCAACTAATTGGTGGAATTTTGTATAGGAGAGGAAGTAGACTATCTGTTCCAAAGGACAAAATATGATACATAGGAAGTTCCAGCCTGACAGATTTGGGCTCAACATAAGAATCAACTTTCTAACAAATCAGAGCTGCCTGAAAATGGTAATAGGGCTGCCACGGGTGGTAGTGAATTCCCTATCACTGGAAGTCTTCAAGCACAAAAGTGGACAGACACCTGTAAAGGAAGTAGCAGTGGATGGGAGTTTGACTTCAAAGACCTCCAGGGCTCCTTCTAGCTTACAGATTTTATATTTCTAAGCCTTTGTTTGCTTGGTGACCTGAGGACTTTTGAAAAGTAGCTTTCACAGTAGGGGATTTAAAAGAAAGTTGGAGGCCTCAGAGGAGTCCTGGAGAGAAGGCTGTCTATGTCCCCTTAATGTTCCATGACACTGATTATGCGGAAAGCCGCCCCAGTGCCCCCATTGAACCCACCAAAGGTTCCTTCTGTAGCTGAACTCAGAAGTGAGCGGCAGATGAACCTGATTCAATGCCACCAGCACAGACAGAAGAATTCTTCCCGAGAAGAGGAAGGTTGCATTGTGATCAGAGCTACCAATTCCAATGAGTGCCTTCTTTTTCTTTCCATTAAGGCAGGGTGAGGGAAGAGAAGGGAAAGCGTCCTCATTCCCTTGAGTTCTAGAAATCACTGTTTTCCATTCTCCAATAAAAGCCCTACCTGACCTTTGTGTGCGCAAGTAATGCTGTGGTTGACTCCTCCTCAGTAAGGCATGGGCAAATGTTCCTTTGGTAGCAGTGATGGGTTTGTATCGAACCACACACACGCGCGCACACACACACACACATACACACACACACACACACACACACACACACTCACCCGTTGTCACAAACAGCACACATAGGAAAAGGCTGAAGAGGGCAGTTTGTGGCCATGGTTTGTAAGTTCCATCTAAGGCCATGGATTATTTTTTCTCTGTGTACATCTAAGAGATCTGTATGAGTTGGAACCTATGACCTTGAAGTCATTAAAAACAAGCTGTAATATTGAGATTACCAACCTGTCCTAGAACCACATTTGTTAGAGGCATTTAAAGCACCCAGGTAGGGTGTTATTGAGCCATATGAATACCAGCACTGTCTGGTACCTTGCAACTATGGAGTATCCCCTGTGTTTGTGAATAGAGCTGAGCCTCCCAAAGGGAAGACAGACACCCATAGGAGACCTGTGAGGCACTTCTCCCACTCACAAATGTGTTACTCCCATGAAAAAGCCACTATGACCTTGTTTATTTCTCCTCAGGTGGAGGCAGTAAGACTAATCATGGAGGGGAAGGCCCCCAAAATACCTCAAACTGAAGAGGGGGCAACTTATGAAGGAATACAGAAGAAGGAAAATGCCAAGGTAAGGGTCAAAGGAGCAATCAGCAAATATGACTCAAATTCAGCTTGTCCACAGCAGAACTCATGGTCTCCATGCCAAAGAAAAGAAATCTACTTCTCTTATGAATTTCCTTTTCCTGTTGACAGCACCACTGTCCTTTGCACAGAGATAAAAATTCTTCCAGAGAAGAGGGAGGCTGAGTAGTGATTAGAGCTGACCAACTCCAATGAGTGCTGCCTTCTTTTCTTTGAGGTGGGGGAAAGGAGAGAGAAGGGGAGCCTCCTTATTCTCCTGAGGTCTAAAAGTTTCTCTGTCTTCCATTGCATTCTACCTGATCTTTGTGTGTTCAGGCAATGCTGTTGTTGACATCCTCAGCAAAGCACCATAAAGCACAGCGGATGTTGTGTCTTTTTAGTAGTAGTGATAGGTCTGCATTGAACCACACACACACACACACACACACACACACACACACACACACACCCATTGTCACCAATGGCACACAAGGCTCACAACGTTGATGTTAGCCTCATCTTTTCACTATCACTCACCCCACGTAGCCAAACAGATGCCAGATCTCATCATATCCATCTCTGCAATATCTCCTGCATAGGTTTCCTCCTTGCAACCCTCACAGCCAGCACTGTAGTTTGGGCACTCATCGCCCCTGGTCTGGACTGCTACAGTAGCCTTCAAATTTGTTTCCCAAGCTCAAGCCTCTCCTAGATTTAATCCATCTACTCAGCCACTGAAGTGATTTTTCTAAAACACAGACCTTACCATACACACACACACCCATTACTTCTAGAAACACACGATAACCTTTCTATTTGTCATTTAAAGCTCTGCACCACCTGGCCCTGGTCTACCTCTCCAGCTTCATTACACATGACTCCCCTCTGTGCTCTCTACAATCCCACCCTACCAGACTACTTGCATGCATGATGCTGTATTTCCCACCTCCATGCCTTTGCATGGCTTTGGCCCATGCCTGGAATATCCTCCTTCCTTACCTCCATATCTCAGAATCCTTGGTTTCCTTCAAAACTCAGTCCAAGAACCACCCTCTATAGGAAATGTCTCCCGATTTCCCCTGGTGACTAATATCCTTTCTTCCTTCTTTAACTGCCTCCATTCATTTTGTATGTACTCTGCATGTATTTATATGTGTACACATTGTCTCCCTCTTTAGAATGAAAGCACCTTGAAGGCAAGGATTATTTCATTTGTCTCTCTGTGTCCCTAGCACTCATTGAAATGCCTGGTACATAATAGGTGCTTTTAAAATGTTTGTTGATTGACTCATTTAGTGCCTATAAGGTACCCAGCTCATTTCTCATCTTCTGTCAGGTCTGTGCTTCTGCACAGATGAGGCACCCTGGTATATTAGAAAGAATATTGGACTCATAAAACCTGGGTTAAAATCTCAGCTCTAACACACACATATCACCTGTGTGACCACAGGCAAATCATCTAACCTCTCTGAGCCTCAGTTTTCTCATTTATGAAATGAAGGGCTTAATAATGGCTGATACTTATGTAACCATGTGCTTTTATTAGAATATATCACCTCATTTCATTTTCACAGCAACCCAGCGAAGTAATCAATTTTTAAAACAAGCATGTATTGAATACCTGCTATATGCCAGACAATGTGCTAAGGACTTGGGTACATAAAGAAGGGCAAAAATACAATCCCTGCTCTCAAGGAGGTTACGTTCTAATGGGGAGGACAATATGCAAATTAACTATAACCACAAAATATATACTGTATACATGTATAAATGGAAAGTAATTTTTAAGAGAAAATATTAGTACTGGGATTATGTAGCATAGGTTTTATTATTCCATCTTACTGATGGGGAATGATGAGACCTTTCCAAATGAAGAGAACATAACTAGTAAGTGCTATCAGAGACTGGATCTGAACCCAACTCTCCTGACCCTAAATCCAACTGTCTTTCCCCTATATCCTGCTGCCTCTCTGAGGAGGGAGAGCTCATAGTGAGCTTTGGGAGAATTCCTGGCTTGGACTCCTGGTTCAGCTATGATAACCACAAATCTTGGCATCCTTTCCCCACCTGGGAAGGGTGTGGTCTAGTCAAGGGTACACTCTGGAGTAGTTCAGGAGCTGCCATAGCAACCTGATTCTATCCCAGTTGGTTCTCTTGAAGAACGAGGTGTCATTATTCAAGTCATCCTAAGCAGTGAGCCCTCTAGCCAGCTAGCTCCCAATCCTGCCTCAGGCTCACTGTGTGCTTCTAGCAGCCCTTGGACTGATTATGCATCCGCCACGATGGACACAATTCTTACAAGTCATTCAATGGCAAGGTAGGACCCAGCACTTCTTCCCTCTACATTATTTCATTATACTTATACTAGTATATACTGTATACACCTTATACTAATCCAAGAAGTCACGCAAGGTAGCTATGGTACCCATCTGCATATGAAGAAACTGAGGCCCCAAGAGATGAGAATTGATATGACTTGGCCAAGGTTGCATTGTGAGTGCTACTAGAATTGCTGGATCAGTCTTTCTACCACAGAGTGTTACAGGAGCTGGGCTATCTAAGGATGGCTACTGTTCCAGGCCATCCATTTACTGCTTTCCATGTCCCTCAGTCCACCATATCCTTATGTCTATGATTAGCATCTAAGGTTGGGATAGGGAGTGGAGATATTTCAACCCACTTAAAAGCAGCTATGTGGTACGTTAGATAGAGTGCTTGACTTCCAGGAAGTCCCAAGTCCTTGAAGACCCAAGTTCAAATCCAGCCTCAGGCACTTGCTAACTATGAGACCAGCAAGTCAACAAGCAGCTAGTAAGGCTTAACATATGCCAGTCACTGTGCTAAGCAAAAAACAGGGCTGGCCCTCAAGGAGCTTGTATTTAATGGGAAAAGAAAAGGCATCCGAAAAGGCTGAAAATGTTAGGTTGGGGATGGAATGAGAAGGCACACCCTTAAGGTTATGGGAGAGAAAGTTCAGAGTCGGAAGTTGAGCCTCAAGAGAAATGGGCCATGGACTTAAACTTCTCTGTGCCTCAGTTTCCTCATCTATAAAAGGAAAGAGTTGGACTCAGTGGCCTCTAAGATCCTTCCCAGCTCCAAATCTATAATCCTCTGATTCCTTGGGACAGTGACCTTTGGTTTGGCTTGGGAGCCCTCAGAGGTGGTCAAAGATTAAACAAGTACCCGAGGTGCTGAAGAAGAGAGTGTCAACGAGAGGGAACAACATTCAGTGAAGGGGTCAAAAGAGCCGGCCTCACGTCTGACTGTGACGCTTAACGAGTCGTGTGGTTTCACTTCTCTGAGCCTCTGTTTCCTCATTATCAAAAATAGAGATCACAATTCTCATGCTGCTTGTGTTGTAGCAGTGTTTGGAGGAAGGTGTTTTGCAATCCTTCAGATTCATCCAAATGTGAATTGTCACTACCATGGTCTCTACAGATCAACTGGGACCAGCCAGCGGAAGCCATCCACAACTGGATTCGAGGAAATGACAAGGTTCCTGGAGCCTGGACAGAGGCGAATGGGCAGGTAGGTATGTTGGGAGTGCAGGACCTGTCCTTTGTCCCGGCCCTGTTTTCTCATCCCCTTTTTAATCTAGGTGTCACACCAGGCATGGATAACAATGAATTGAAAAAGGAGGTGGGCCCCACACAGGAATAGAGAGCAAGGTCAGGAGGCAGCTAGATAAGAGTAAATCTAATGGAAGTTGTAAGGTTCAGGTAATTTTTTTTAAAGCAAGAAGGAGGCATTGAGGGAGGCAGGGCAAGATAACCAGGAGAAACAGATCTAGGACTCCAACAGCACAGGACAGATCCTGATGTGGAAGGAAGCCATTTGGAATGGCCAATCCAAATCAAGCCTCGCTTGGAAGCCAGCCAGGGATGATTGTTATAGTCCTTTCCTCACAAAGTGGGCCCAGTGTGGGTTAATGCCAGATGCCAGTCTATCCAAGTGGGATGCAACAGGAATTCAGTCTCATTAAGCTCTCATAAGCTAGCATTCATGGTACACAGGAAAGAGCTTCAGGTCACCTTGGTCCAAATCTGAGCTCCAAAATTGGACCATTTTGTGACCCTTGTCAACTCACTTTGACTCCCTGAACTTCAGTCTTCTCATCTGTACAATGGAGATAATAACAATAAGTAGCTATTAAGCACCTACTATCCCTGGAGGTTTGAATATAAAAGTGACACAGTCCTTAGCTTCAAGGAATTTATATCCTACTTACGTAATAACACTTATGTTTCCTGCTTCATAGATTATCGTGAGAAAAGTGCTTTGTAAGCCATAAAAAACTATACACGTGAGAGTTATTATCATTTTTTTAATCATCTCTTTTTTACTATGAGGAAACTGAGTCCCAGGGGTTAAGTAACCACTGTACCCAAAGTTGCACAGGAACCGATGGCAGAGCTAAGGCTTAAATGTCAAGAGTAGGGCTCTTCCCACCTCACAGGGCCCCATTTGGCTGACATTTTGCATAAGCCCTGTGGCAGCTGTTTCTGAATCTGTTTCAGAACTTCGAATGACAGATCTCACTCTTCGTGCCTTGATTCTATTTTCTCCTCTAGACGCTGACATTTTTTGGATCAACCCTTAATGACAATGGTCTTATACCAGAGGGAGAAACCCTGGATATCCCAGGAGCAAGTCGGCCAGGCATCGTCACCAAAGTGGGACTTGTCCTCTTTGGAAATGATGGCAAAATGGTGGGTAGCATTACTCAATAGTTTTCTTCCTTTGGTACAGGATTTGCTTTCCATACATATATGCTAAAGAATTTGCTCAAGGGCCCCCACTGTTCTCTATTGGGCACCTGCAATGTGTCCAGTCTCTTGTTACATAGATCAGGAATCGAGGGGAAGGAGAGAAAAGTAAGGGTAGTGGGAAGAGATCCTAGAGGCAGAAGACCTGTGTTTAAATCCCAGTGCCAATACCTGCTAAGTAAAGGACGTCAATTAGAAGGCTACTGCAATAGCCTAGGTAAGAGGGATGAAGGCTTGAACTAGGGTGATAGAGGTGTGAGTGAAGAGAAGATGATAGAAATCAGAGATGTAAAGAAGGTAGAAATGACAAGATTGGGAAGTAATTGGATACGTGGGGTAAAGGAGAATGAAGAGTCAAGAAGGATTCCAAAGTTACAAGCAGGGGCAGCTCAGAGGATGGTAATGCCCTTGATGGTGATAGGGAAGTTGAGAAGGGAAAGTTTGGGGTGGGAGAGGATAGGTTAGTTCTCTTTGGGTTACTTTGAGTTTGAGATATCCAAAAGACAGTGGTAGTAGCTTGGAGGAGAGACTAGTATAGACTAGAGACTAGAGAGGCTAGAGACTAGTGTCATATAGACCTAGGGTCATATGCATAGACATGATAATTGAACTCACAAGATATAGATATGATGAGGCTAGCTTCTCATACACGTTCATGATGCCAAGGTCTCCAGTATGCTGTTGACACATCTCTCTCTCTCAACTGCCTCCTAAGAGGTTCTCTCTCAAAGTTTCTATATTCAACTAAGGTTAAGTCCCTTAGAAAAGTTACTCAGTGTTACATTGAGCATTCTTAGCTGATAAGAAATCACAAATCCCTCCATTTATGTAACATGCAGCACAGGGCTATTCTTCAGGACACTGTCCAAGATGGTATTACAAACCAATAGAAGCTGAAGAGGTAGTATAGAGCAAAAAGACAAGAGGCCCTGGAACAAGGCTCCCCAGAGGCTTGGGGGGCGGGAATTGCAGTTAATAGGTCTGCCATGAAGAACCAGTAAAGGAGACTGAGAAAGATCCCTCAGACAGATAGGGTAAGAACCAGAGGAAAGATATGTCATGAAAGCCTAGAAAGGAGAGAGTGTGTAGGAAGAGAAGGTGATCCACAGTGCCAGATACAGCAGAGAAGTCAAGAAAGACGAAGCTTTAGATGAAGCCATCAGATTTGAAAATTAAGAGCTTCATGAATAACTTGGAGGGTTTCAGTTGAATGATGAGGTCGAAACCAGATTATAGAGAGTTTATCAGAAAGTGAGAGAAGTAGAGTCACCCAGGGTAGGCAGCATTCTCCAGGAGTTTATCTATGAAGAGGAGGAAGGAGAGAGAATGATAGCGGGCAGGGCTAGTGTAATAGAGTGAAGATGTTTTAAGGATGGGTGGGGGGAGACATGGGCGTGTTTATAGATAACAGGAAAGGAGTCCGTAAGTGGAGAAAGATTGAAGCAAAGAAAGATGGTGGAGATGATAATGGGGATAATTTACTGGAGAAGATGGGAGGGGAGGGCATCAAGAGTACATACAGAGGCAGAGGGGCTGGTACGGCTAAGGAGGACGATATCTTCATCAGTCCTTGGCACCTAGTCCGATGCTTAACAGATGTGTATCGATTGGCTGGTTAACTAAAGTAAAGCAGGAAATAGTGCAAGAAGATGAGTAAGTGATGTGAGAGGAGAGGAGGGAGTGCCTGGTGTGTGTACCAGGAGGTATTTGTATTAGATGAGGAGTGGTAATGAAGGACCACGTGATTCGAATCAAAATAGAAGCGGAGTAAATGCCAGAACTGTGCCCTTTGCAGCTGGTGGTGAAAAACATACAGCTAGAAGATGGCAAAATGATCCCAGCATCTCACTTCTTCAAATCAGCAGATAGCACCGCCCTGGAACTGACTGAAGAGGAGCTGGTCACTGCAGAGGCCATTAGGGTGAGAAGAGAATTTGCATCTATCTGAATGTTTCTCTCTGCCTTGTTACTCCTGGACAATGGGGCCCCATTTCAATAAAATTCAGTAAATAGTTATTAAGAACCTAGTAAGTGCAAAGCACTGTGCTAGGTGCTGGGAATACCATGGTGAAAATTAGCACAGTGCCTACCCTCAAGAAGCTCACAGTCCAAAAGCACCTAATAGATTAGCAGGAGATAATGAGAAATCATGGGAAGTTGGCATTATGGTGGATAACAAATGAGTGAAAACTAGGATAGAAAGGAGGATGAGACAGTTCGAAGGTCCAAGTTAAATGGTATGGGAAATATAAAGTCACTTTCAGCTAAGGGTGGTGATGGGAGTGATCAAGGAAGGTTCCATAAAGGAGGTAGTGTCTGTGTTGGGCCTGAAGAAAGGAAGGGACTCCAACAGATGCAGTGGGGTGGGAAATAAGGGAGTAATCTGTTCCAAACATGGGAGACAGCATGAGAAAAGGCATAGAGCAAAAGGCAAGATGGGAATGGGAGATGAAGAAGTTTTATTTGAATGGAAGAAAGACGATAGGGAAATATTAAAAGATAAGGCTGAGCAGGTGTGTTGGAACCAGACTGTGGAGGCCCTTGAATGCTAGAAGGAGGAGTCCAGTCTGTATTAAGTGGACAGTGGGAACTTACTAAACATTTTAAGTAGCAGAATGACATGATTGCAGTGATACACTTGGAAGATTATGTGGGAGTGGGGGCGGTGCAGAATTGGAGGTCTAGACTGGAGGTGGGAAGATCAGTTAAACTATTGCAATAGTTCAGAAGAGGGGAGAGGAGGTCCTGAGTAAGGGTGATTGTAGTGGGAGTTAAAAAGAAAGATGGCACAGTGGATAGAGTGCCAGGCCTGAAATCAGGAGGCCTCATCTTCCTGAGTTCAAATCTGGACTCAGACAACTCTTAGCTATGTGACCCTGGGCAAGTCAGTTAACCCTGTTTGCCTCAGTTTCCTCATCTGTAAATTGAGATGGAGAAGGAAATGGCAAAACACTTCAGTATCTTCACCAAGAAAACCCCAAATTGGGTCATGAAAAATCAGACAACTGAAATGACTCAGCAAGAAGAAATGAAATGCCTTTAATTATTCCCTTCAACCCCACCCCTTTTTTCTATTATTGTTCCTTGGGATGGGTGCCCAGGCTTATTCTAGGGTTTATCATTATGGCCTCAAGTAGCCCTATCTCCAAACCCTGCAGGGGATAGATAGAAAGCTTAGATAGGAAGAATAGCATGGCACAGTGATAAAGGTGAGGATAGAGAGCTCAAGAAGCTGATAAAGGTATAGAAGTAGGAATTTCCCTTTCATGTCCTCAGGGTGGGTAAGGACAGTGAAGAGCCTGACCCAACAATAGCAAAGGAAGCAGTTGGGGCAGAAAGGAGAATAAGATTGGAGAGTCAGGAGCCACAGAGCTGTTAAGGCAAGTCTTTGTGCTGAGGATTGAAGGGAAGGCTGCCATGTGAGCAGGCTTGTCTTCATTTCTTTCCATTTCCCAACTCCATCTCTCAGTTCCAGTCCAACCAGTCTCTTTGCTTCTCCCTGTGCTCCAGAGCCCACATTTATACTGATTTTTGAGCAGCTGGACACCCAGGCTTCCCTGTAACCTGTAGAGTTATTCATATTCTTGTGTGGCCTTGCCTTTCAGGATGCCTGGCAGAGGATTTTGCCCAACGTTGCTGAGATCGAAAGCTCCACTGATTTCTTCAAATCAGGCGCAGCATCTGTGGATGTTGTGAGGTGAGAATTCTTTGCCACCACAAAAAGAGCTGCTATGAATATTTTTGTGCATGTGGGTCCTTTTCTCATTTGTATGATCTCTTTGGGATATAGCCCGAGAAGTGCTATTGCTGGGTCAAAGCAACCCTCTTACTTTTCAAAGGGAAAAACTGAGGCCAAAAAGGGAAAAGCAACTTGCCCTTGCCCAAAGTCTCACACACAGAACAGAATTTGAACTCAGGACCCCTGATTCCATATCCAGTATTTTTTTTCTATTGCACCTCAATAGATCAATTTTTTTTTTTGTGGATCTCACAAGCCCTTGCCAATTCCTACCATTTTAAAGAACCACAGAAAGTTAGACTAAAACAGCATCTGAGAACACAGAACTTCTGATTTTGAGCAGGAAGGGACCATAGTGATCATGGAGTTTAACTCTTTCATTTTTATAAATGAATCCCAAGAGAAAGGATGGTACTGACCCAAGGTCAACAGCAAGTTAACAGCAGAGTGAGGACTCAAGCCATGACCCCTGACTGCCGGACCAAAGTTCTTTCCATTACATTACCCTGTTACTCTTTGTTCCTTCACATCGTTCTTAGGGTCAACTGCTCATTTCTCTTAGTAATCCATTCTCTCACCTGACATAATCACATTTTTCCATGGAAAAATGCTTGTGGTCACGAATGTTTTTGTCAGGATATCCAAAAGAAGATAACCCCCTGTCCTGTCCTCCACAACATGTTCTTACGCTACGTGTCCTAATAGGTTTTTTTAAGATGATGTTTCACCAAAGACTTCATGTCTTAAAAAGTCTGGCTTGGTTTATTGTTAAGTAAACATGCCCAACATTTATAGGGTCATCGCTTTAGAACAGAAAGCAACCTTAGAAGTTACCAAGGTCCCTCATTTTACAGAGGAGGGCATTGAGGCCCAGAAAGAGTCAGCAATTTGCCCAAGGTGGTACAGATAAGGAAATGACAGCTTTGGGATTTGAACCCAGGGCCTCTCACTCTCCAAATCCAGTACTCTTTTCACTGTCTCACTCTTCCTCAGGGCTATTTTTTTTTTAAATAGAAAGTGGGTACACACAGCAAAAAAACCTATTAACTCAATGATACTGTGGCTATAATTGATATTTTAGTAGCAAACCATGCCTCTGTGATACCTGCTAGGATCAAGTCATTAAAAAAAAGTCTTTTCCAAGAAAAGTCACATTTAAAAAGCAGATATTAAGTCACTTAGAAGACAGGAGAGCTGGAAGGGACCTTAGAGGTCATTTTGTCCAATCTCCTTCTTTTGTAGAGGACACTGAGAGTCAAGTTCTAGTCTTTACCTTTCCACCACCTGCCTGTGTAACACTGAGTAATTCACTTTCCCTATCCAAGTCTCTTTTTTTTCCTCATCTGCAAGCATAAAGTAGTGCACTTGGAGTTAGAAAGATCTAGGTTCAAATGCTACGTCATTCATTTACTAGCTGTATGACCATGGGCAAGCTTTTTCAGCGTCAGTTTCTTCATCCATTAAATAGGTATAATAACAGCTGTAGTACTTACCCCCTTAGGGTTCTTATGAGACTCAAATTAGATAATGTATGAAGAATGCTTAAAAACAAAACCTTAAAATGCTATATGTAAATGTCAGTTATGAAAATGATTGAGGGGGCGCTAACTCATCTCTATGGCCTCTTCAGACTGTGGTATTCTCACATTCTGGGAAGACACATTTTTAAAAATCTGAAGTAGAGGAAAGGCAGGATGGTAAAGTGGATAGAGCCACCCAACTCAGCCTTGAGATGCCTTCTAACAGCTCTCTGAATACTCTGGGATAAATTATTACACATGGATTTTATGACCTTCACCAGCATGACTGGGTGCTTACTATGGGCAAGTGTCTTGACTTCTCGGGGTCCCAGGCAACTCTCCAATACCATAAATTACAAGACCACCTCACTGGAGGGAGTTTCTTTGCAGGGAGTTTCCTATATTAATGAAATCACAGGTCCAGACCAAAACAAATTAAAATGGAGATGAAAAGCAATTTCTTCCCTTCCTTCTCCCTCTGACAACAGTTTATGGTGTTATTGTATGGGTTGTAAAAATACCAATAAACTTACCAAGCATACTGTCTCTCAGCTGCCTCCCCCTCTCACCATAAATCCTTCCCCAGGCTACACTGAACCCATGCCAGGACCATGATGGTGTCCTTCCCACGGGGAGCCTCATGTCCTGTCCCTTCTCCAGCCCCAGCCCCAGGCCATCTTGAATTCCTAATCCAATTAACTCAGCCATTGAGACTGCCTCCTGGTGGTCTCCCTTGGAACTCCAAGACAAATTTACATTGTAGAGTGATTTTCACAGCTTGACTGCCCTGTCTCAATCTCACTGATCAACATGGCTCCCTGGTTCTGGTTTACTTTGATCTAGCCCAGCAACCCATTCCCCATAAGAGGCAGAATGGTGTAGAAGATGGAGCCCTGGATTTGGAGTCAGTAAAATCAGGGGTTGGAGTTGCTAGCTTTCTGCCTCCTACTGTAGAACCAATAGTACATAGAATCTCAGAGTTTGAAGGGATTTTACGGAACAAGTTTCCTCCCACCCTATTCAAAAATCATCTCTATAACAGGTGTTCTTAATCTGGAACCAATATTTTGAAAGCTATTTCAATATAATCGGTTCCCTTTGTAATTCTATATATTTTATGCATTTAAAAACATTATTCTGAAGGGGGAAAAAAGGTGACTAGGTGGTACAGTGTTTAGAATATGAGACTTGGAGTCAGGAAGACCTGAGTTTGAATCTGGCTTCAGATACTTATTAGCTGTGTTACTCTGGACAAGTCATTTAGCCTCTGTCTGCCTTGGTTTTCTCATCTGTAAAATGAGGATAATAATAGTATCCGCTTCTCAGGTGGCTGTGACAAATAAATGAGATCATTTCTTTCAGACTGTCAGAGGGATGGGTATGACATAGAAAGTATGAGGAACCTCTGTTTTATATCTTCCCTGACAGGTGGTTATCTAGTCTGTATCTGCACACTTCCAGTAATGGAGAGATAATGATAACAATAACATCATCATAACAGTAATGACGATGATGATAATAATAGCTAGCATTCATACGACACGTTAAGGTTTGTAAAGCCCTTAACAAATATTATCTTATTTGTCCTTCACAACAACCTTGTGAGGTAGATTACTATTATTAGCCTCATTTTACAGATGAGGAAACCGAGGCAGACAGAGGTTAAATGACTTGCCCAGGGTCATATCGCTGGTAAGTGTCTGAAGCCAGATTCAAACTCAGATCTTCCTAACTCCAGTTCCCATATTCTAAACACTGTACCACCTAGCCACCCCCTTGGGTAGCCCAGTCTATTGTGGGATAGTGATCATCTTTTTTTTTGTTTGTTTGTTTTAATTTTTAGGCAAGTGGGGCTAAGTGACTTGCCCAGAGTCACACAAGTAGTAAGTGTTAAGTGTTTGATCTGAGGCCAGATTTGAACTCCAGTACTCCTGACTTCAGGCCTGGCACTCTATCCACTGCACCACTTAGCTGCCCCTAGTGCTCATCTTTAAAAAGAGTTCTGCTTCCTTTGAATTGAACTCTGCCCCCTACTTCCCTTCCCAAATTGGTCCTATTTCTGTTATAAGCTCTGACATCCAGCTGCCAATTAATAGCACAGCCAGATGATATATTCTGCACCTAGCATTGAACATATTTGAGCTTAAAAGGACGTTGGAATTACACAAAATGCCTCCTCTCCCCAGCAATCCTTCAGATACTCAAAGACCAAGGTCTTGTCTTCTTTTCTCCAACCTAAGCAGTCCTCAACTGTCCTTCACATGACACAGCCTCCTGGCACCACCTTGATCACCTACTTGTGCTTAAGTTTATCAAGATCCCTCTTAAATTATGGCCTCCAGTTCCTTTTAAATCCTAGTCTAAATCCTCCTTCAGAAAGCTTTGCTTGATTAACCCAGATCTCCTTTTGCCCAAACAAACTCATTGCAGCAAGTAACACTTGTTTTTGTTGTTAACTTGAATTCACTGTTTATGCATCTTCTGTTCATTGTCTGCATGGTGATTGATAGTTACATTTGTCTGTGTCTTCTTCCTCCTAGAGCATAAAGTCCTTAAAGACAGAAAAGGTAGATGAGAAATGAGATGTTTTAAAGTGTTTTGCAAACTTTTAAGCAGGCTATTATTATCAATGAGTTATTATCTTAGTAATTATTATTCAAGCATAACATACCCACTGTGGGACTTCAGTCCAACATGCTGGAAGATGATGGTATCAGTGTTGGGGCTGGTGGTCATTGCCATTTTGCTGGTCTTTAGCACCTAGTCTTGGCTTCTACAGATGCAGGGATATGCAGAACATATGTCATATGTTCTCAAACTTCTTTTTTCTAGGCTTGTAGAAGAAGTGAAATTGCAATGCGATGGCCTGGAATTAGAGAATGAAGATGTGTACATGGCAACTACCTTTGGGGATTTCATCCAGATGTTGATTAGAAAACTGAGAGGGGAAGATGGAGAAGAAAAACAAGTTATAGACTATGTAGGTAGTGAATCACATCCCCCTCCAAAAAGTATTTGGTACCTTCTAAATAAACCCTATATGGTAGTGACACTCACTTGCTTTGGAATCCAAAATGGCAGCTGGGATCAACATTCCTGGAGAATTCTAAACACTGCATTTAAGATTCCTTTCTTCCCTGGCCCTATTCTCTATATCCACTAGGGGAACCTTATGTGTCCTACACAGTCATCTCAGTTGTGTCCAACTCTTCATGACCCCATTTGGGGTTTTCTTGGCAGATGCTGGAGTGGTTTGCCATTTCCTTCTCTAATTCATTTTACAGATGAGAAAACTGAGGCAAACAGGGTTAAGTGAGTTGCCCAGGGTAACACACACTATCTAAGGTCAGATTTGAACCCAGGTCTTCCTGATTCCAGGCCTCACGCTGTATCCACTGCACCGCCTAGTTGCACTTTATATGTCCTACCTGTACTTAATTGAATGATACAGGAAGAAAATCCTGACACAGTGTGGTCCACAGTCTAAGAAATGGAAGAATTTTGAACCAGGGTACTATGCAAAACAGTTTACCATAAAAGGTAGAAAATGTAAGTTGCCCTGTTTTATTCACATGTTTTTTTCTGCTAAGTAACTTGAAACCTTTATATGAAAATTATTTTTTCTATTTACATATTGTTTTAAAATTTGTTTTGTTTTGTTTTTTTGTCTCTGATACAAACTCATTTAAAAATTAGTTCCAATGTACTCTGTCTAAAAGTTTGTATGCTAGGCAGGCAGTAAATTTGTAGGTTGCTAAGAGCCCTTGAAGTTCTGACATCCAATTACCAATCAACAGCACGTCCAGAGGCTATATTCTACACCTAGGATTGTACATATCTGAGCTTATAGGGACCTTATAGGTCATCTAACTCAACCCCCTTATTTTACCAATGAGGAACCTGGGGTCCAGTGACTTGGACAAGGTCACACAGCCAGTAAATGGCAAAGTGGAATTCAAACACAGCTCTTCTGAATCCAAATTCAGCCACTTCTCCTCCACCCCCCATCCCACAGTATACTGCATTGAGGGGAAATTTTCCCCTCTCCTTGAATAATGGAAAATTGATTGAGAAAATCCTAGAATCTCAGAGGTGGCAGGTATCTCAGACACCATCTAGTCCAACCCACATGTGAATAAGAATCCCTTCTATAACACGTCTGTCTAGTTAGCTATCCAGTGTTTTCGTGAAGGTTTCCATCAAGGGGAAATCCACTATTTTCAAAGGCAGCCCATTCCACTTTTGAGAAGCTCTAATTATTAACAACTTCTTTCCTTACTTGAAGCCTAATTTTTTTTTGTTTCTGTATCATATTGTTGACTTGGGTTGAGTTCACAGTCCACCGAGACCTCTAGATCTTTTCCAAACGAACAGCTAACTATTCTTCCCCTATCTTGTACTCAGGAAGTTGATTTTTGGAACCCAAATGTATGACTTTACATTTACTGCTATTACATTTTTTTGTGTGTTAGATTCAGTCTAGTGTTCCATTTTGTCAAAAGCCTTTTAGATCCTGACTCTGTCATGCGACATGTTGGCTTTCCCTCCCAGCTTTATTCCATGTGAAAATTTGAGAAGGCTCTTATCAATGCATTTTCTTTTGATTGAGTAATGATTGTCATGGAAGTTCATGCTGTGTACATAGATATCTATGTGACTAATTCTTTTCTGTTTCTGACCTTGAAGAGGGAAACAAGAAAGCTAAGAGTAGGCGACACTTTCTTTTTCTTCCATGAAGCTTCTTCCTCCTAACTTCCATTTTCTGTATTATAAGGAAGTCTTTGCAACACAACACCAAAGTGATTGATGACGCTCTTTATGGTACAATGAATCTTCAGGCTGGCACAAAGTTATAGAGTTGGGGCCGTATGTGGAGTTTATAATGCATTCTAGGGATTTCTGCAGATGACGGTTACCCCAGCCCCTACCTGTCCCCTGGTTAGCAGGGGAAACTGAGAATAACAGACCAACTTTCAACAATTCTCCCTACTCCTCAGCTGCCACTACAACAATCCCCTTTGTCCCAGAGGGTGAACGAGAGACTTGAAGCCTAAATCTCCTGGTGGGTTTTAGAGGGACAAGGGTCAATTAGTCTCTGTCTTTCTCAGGTGGAGAAGTCCATCAACAACCTGACCATTCGAATGCCTCACCAGCTCTTCATCAATGGGATGTTTGTAGATGCTGAAGGAGCTAAGACCTACGAAACCATCAACCCAACAGATGGGACTGTGAGTCCTGGCAGGCCAGCCAAACCTTTCCTCTTCTCTTCCCATTCAGTGTTGATCTGTATCTCACCCCTTATTTGCTCTGAGACCTTGAGTAAGTTACTTAGTCTCTCTCAGTTTCCCCATTTGTAAAATGTAGATTATAGCTTCTGCCTTGCCCAGCTTATACGGTAATGACTGGGGGATTCAAATGAGATAAAAAATGAAAAAATTCTTTGGAAGCAGTAAAATGCTACCACAGTGTGAGGAAGTAATTATCTGATGCCCCAAAGGTTAAGAGGAAGGACCTCCATGGGTGATGAGTGAATCTGGAAGGGGTAAGAGAAGAAGAAGGAACTGTAATCCTTACCTTACTTTCCACCACCTGCCCCAACTCTCCTGAGTATACTTCATCTCCCATCTGCTGCTCTGGAATAAAGGGCTATAGAATCAGAGATGTACAGATGGAGGGGACCCTAGACATCCAGCCCTTTCATTATACAAATGAGGAAGCTGACATCCAGAGAGATTAAATAACTTGTCTAAGGTCACATGGGAGGAGGGAAAGGGAACATTTACTAAGAGCCTACTACATATCGGATGCTGCACTAAGCACTCTAAAAAAGGGAGAATCTCCTTTGATCCTCACGACAACCCTGTGACATAGGTGCTGTTATTATCCCCACTTTACAGTGGAAAAAACTGAGGCAGATAGAGTATAAGTGACTTACCCAGGGTCATACAACTGTTAATTGTCTAAGGCTGGATTTGAATTCAGGTTTTCCTGATTTCAGGCCCCCATCCTCTATTCACTGTGCTACCAAGCTGGGAAAAGATAAGAATGCCCCCAAAGTGGTTTGTACCTTCTCAGAAGTGAGGAAACAGAGTTTAAAACATCAGTAAAAGAATTGGAAAATTCAGACCACTTCTGGTCCAAGTGCCCCGCAAAGGCCCTGGTGACAGAAGTCCTGAGCCTTGGACCTCTCAGGAAACCCTGTATCTGGCTTTGCTCTTCACAGGCCATCTGCAAAGTATCACTCGCCCAGATCTCTGATGTTGACCAGGCCGTGGCCGCAGCAAAAGATGCCTTTGAGAATGGAGTGTGGGGAAAGATAAACCCCAGAGACAGGGGACGACTTCTCTACAAGTAAGCAGGGCAGCTTTCCTCATCCCTGGGAGTGTGGGGGCTTCAGACCCAAGCACTGGAGATAGGGGCCCAGAGCTTTCCTTCCCAGTCCTACTTGTCTTCAACAAGAAGGTAGCCACAATTCCTAGAAAACCAGGGGACTTGGCAGTGTAGAACACACCCAGAGAGAAAAATAATGGCCCTTAGAACATAGACTCTCAGAGCTGGGAGGGACCTTAGAACATAGAATGTCAGAGCTGGAAGGACTCTTAGAATATAAACTATCAGAGCTGGGAGAGACCTTAGATCATAGACTGTCAGAGCTGGAAGAGCTCTTAGAATATAAACTGTCAGAGCTGGGAGGGACCTTAGAACATAGAATGTCAGAGCTGGAAGAGCTCTTAGAACATAGACTCTCAGAACATAGACTTAGAACACAGAATGTCAGAGCTGGAAGAGCTCTTAGAATATAAACTGTCAGAGCTGGGAGGGACCTTAGAACATAGAATGTCAGAGCTGGAAGGACTCTTAGAATATAAACTGTCAGAGCTGGGAGAGACCTTAGATCATAGAATGTCAGAGCTGGAAGAGCTCTTAGAACATAGACTGTCAGAGCTGGAAGAGCTCTTAGAACATAGACTCTCAGAACATAGACCTAGAACACGGAATGTCAGAGCCCAAAGGTCTCTTAGAATACAGACTGTCATTGCTGGGAGGGCCCTTAGAACACAGAATGTCAGAGCTGGAAGAGCTCTTAGAACATAGATTGTCAGAGCTGGAAGAGCTCTTAGAACATAGACTCTCAGAACATAGACTTAGAACACAGAATGTCAGAGCTGGAATGGACCATTAGAATATTTAGGGCTGAAAGGGCCTTGAAATCACAGAACATGGAATTTCAGAACATAGAAGACAAAACATTGCATTAAATGGGACCTTGTGTGGCCAACAGAAAACCGGGCTTAGTAGAAAATAAGACTGTCATATGCTTGTGACTATGAAATGGAGAGGTTTGACTTCCACATCCTCAATTTCCCACGTATTTAACCTAGTCATTCAACAAACCTACATCAGCTCCTATTGTTATTCAAGTATTGTGCTAGGCACTGTGAGAGTTTTATTCAATTTCAATAACTCCATTCAGCTCAATAAGCATTTATTAAGTGCTTACTGCATGCCATGTGCCAGGCACAAGGGATATAAAAGCAAAAGTGAAAGTCTCCTTATGGGAAACAGCTTGAGCAAAGGCATGAAGCCTGGAGAGCTCTGTGAACATTGGAGAAGAGTAATCTGACTTTGCTGGAATTTAGAATATGTGAAGGACAGTAATATGAGATAAAGGTTCAAAGGACAGGGTCACACTACTATGGGAGGCCTTGAATACCCAGAAAAGCAACTCAAACTTTACTGGGGAGGCATAGGGAGGCATTGAAGATTTTGGAGCAGAAGAATACCATGTCCAGACATTACAGTTGATGAGCCTTATAAAAGATGTATTGGAGAAGGGGGAAAAAATGAATGTGGAACAATCTGCCTGGCAACTATTACAATGGTTCAGGCAGGACTGGCAGTGGGAATAGAGAGGAGATGGGAATGAAATAGGTTTTGAAAAATGGAATTCATAGGATTTGGTGACCCCTCCATCTCCTCGCAAATTCAAAGATAACCCTAGGATTTCAAACACAGAAGACTTGAGTGAATGATGGAACCACAGACAGTACTGGTAAAGTCAGAAGGAGCAGGTTTGTGGGGAAAGATGAGATTGCCTTTGAGTTCCTTCCTGATTCTCCTTCCTCTCCCAGTGCTTAATGCCCCCAAACTCTCTCTTCCAGACCCACTGGCAAATCTTCTCTCAGGTCCTAGTTCACACTGAAGTATGCAGAACAGCTCAGAGTATGACCCTTCCAATGGGAATTGGAATTTTAACAAGGATCAAGCTAAGGGGATGGCACTCCAAGAATAGAATTTCAGGCACAGGCAATGAATGAAGGAGGGATTGGGGGAGGGGTGCAGGGCCAGAAGACCTTCTAGATGCCCCTGAAAAGTGTGTTATATTAGAAAGAGCACCTGGGGCAGCTAGGTGGCACAGTGGATAGAGCACCAGCCCTGGATTCAGGAGGACCTGAGTTCAAACCTGGCCTCAGACACTTACTAGCTGTGTGACCCTGGGCAAGTCACTTAACCCCATTGCCTCACCAAAAAAAAAGAAAAGCACCAGACTGGGAGTCAAGCAATCCAGATTCTAGTCCTCGTGCCACCACAAATTTCCCATATGCCTTTCGGCTAATAGGTTCCCCTCTCTGGGTCCCAATTCCCTAGGCTCTAAAAAGTGAGTCTTGGATTAGATGTTCCCCGGCGTCCCTTCCAGTTCTAAATCCTCTGATCCCTGGAGCTCTGGGATATCTTCCAGGAGCCTTCCATTCCGTTCTTTCTCCGACCTGAGTAAGATGATCTCTGAGGCTTACATTAGTGTCAGATGAAAGGCTGGTGTACATTTAGAAGCAGGACTGGACCTGTGAAGTAATACACCATTAGACTTTGGCACTCTTCCCGTCTTTCCTTTTCTGTCTCCTTCTGTTCCTGCCCCCTTCCTCTCCCCTCCTCCTGTGCCTCTCCCTCGAGGGTCTTGCGGTCAATTAATCTCTGAAGGTGGTAGCTAATAAGAGCTCAAGGTAAAGGATAGGGGAAGAAACTTTCAAGACTCCAAAGCATTCTCAGTAGACTCACCCCAGTGCCTTTTATGCGCTAATTAAAGACATCTATATCCCAAGTGTTCATATGGACTATTTGTGCCCCACCTATGGTATGGCCGTCTGAGCTTGTATTGGTCTGATCAGCCACAGTCAGACACACTGTACGTTGATCCTGACATAGTGATGTCATTCTGATCCTCTTCAAGAATGAAAGCCAATAATCCATAACCCATCACATGCCAGGCACTGTGCTAATAAGCATTGGGAATACAAATTGAAGCAAGAAAAACAATTCCTACCCTCAAGGAGCTTACATTCTACTGAGAGAAGACAGCCTATACAGTGGAACTTGAAAGGGGGGCACCAATGAGGGGAGGAAGGCTCCAGGGTGGCGGTTTCTAGGGGTGGCAATGTGATGAGGAGGAAGAGCAGAAGGCAGTGGAGTTCTGAGAGAGGCCAGGTGTGAATGACAGCAACACCGGAGGCCCCGCCAAAAATGGGACTTACTTCTTTATGCTCTTTGATGAATACCATTTTCCACTCGAGAGAGGGGGAAAAAATCCAACAACAATGGGGACATGGCAGGAAGAAATACATTGCTAAGGGAGGATGGCATCTTTTCTGGAAAGTTTTGAGGAGAAGGCAGACTGCCTTTTGGTGTGGCTTAGACGCTGTCCCACCTGGGGTGCCACCTGACACCATGACTCAGTCAAGGAAATCAGCCAGTTTTTATTAAACTCATGTCAGGAGAAAGAGACCACTGGGGGACAAACAAGCAGGTAGGTATACAGTATGAGTCCTGCTGTCGAGCAGCTTACAAGGAGTTATGCTGACACATTTATATACTGCTTCTTAATTAGTCCAAATAAATTTCCAGAGAGCTTTGAAACAGAATTCATTTCTTGCAGTTGCCAAGAGTGTCATCAGAAGGCTAAGTAACAGGTCCAGCAGGGGGCAGTGTTCTCCCAGTAGTCATTGAAGGCAGCCTTCAAAGGACCAATGATAATGAATTCTACCCACCTCCTGATAAAGAATCATTGGACCCAAGATGCAGAATTTGTGTGTGTATATACACACTGTATACATATTTATACAAAACATCACATTAAATATATATATATATATATATATATATATATATATGTGTGTGTGTGTGTGTGTGTGTGTATGTATATATGTATGTGTGTATGTATTTATATACACACATATACATATACATATATGTGTGCATACCCTAGAGAGAGTTGGCCAATGTGATCATTGTTTTGCTTGACTATGCATGTCTGTAACAAGGATTTTGGTTTTTTTTTTTTTTCCAGTGGGGTGAGGATAGTAGGGAGAGAAAATAGCTGTTATTTTCCATAGAAAAATATGAAATGTAATTTTAAACACTACACAATGTGAGAAGACTGAACTAGGAACTGGAAGAGCCAGCTTCAGGTCCTAGCCACTCCATTAACTTGAGACTGCTTCTTGTCATTGTTTTAATTTGTGTCAATGTCCCTCGGTTTTACATCGCCTTCATTTCTAAATGTGTCCTCCTGCTTCCCGTCTTCTCCACCGCTCTGTACCCCCAATGCCATACATCACTAAATCAACTCCCCCAAATTAACCATGTCTGATGGTCTACAGTATGCAATGTTTCACACCCGTAGTTCCCCACCTTTGCAAAGAATGGAGCTTCTGCTGTTAACTTGTACTGAGACCTTGGACAAGTCATTCCCCTTCTCTGCTTTCTCCATCTGTAAAATTGAGGAGAAAGAGGTAGGTGCTCTCTAAAGCCTCAAATTATAGTACATACATACATATATATGTGTGTGTGTGTGTGTATATATATACATATATACACACATATATATACATATATAAAGTATATATACATTTATATATCAATCAACAGAAATAGATGATATTGTGAGAGCTATCAAATATCTTACAAGTGAAGCATATTTTTAAAGCTCTTAACAAAATGATTTTTAAAAGTTTCTCAGTCTTGCTCCATTTCTCAGTGGCCTCCAGCTTGATCTGTTTTCCAAGGCTTCAACAACCAGCAGGTTGATTCCGAAATGAGAAAACCACTGACTCAGGCTTCACAGCTGGGAGGTGCCTTAGATATCACTGAACCCTAACTCCCTCATTTTACAGATGAGAAAACTGAGGCATAGAGAGACAAAGTAACCTTCCAAGTCTTTGGACTCCAAATCCAGTGCTCTTTTCACTATACCACAAGGTGTCAGGGTCCCCGCAGGAACTAACCTCAGACTCAGCCTCCTCCAAACCTCATGTATCTGCACTTCTTCTGCAGAAGGACAGGAATGGGGATAGAAAAATATATAAGACCTAATTTCTGCCCTCAGAGTGCCGATGATCAAGATGGGAAGAATCATAGCATGTCAGAACTGAAAAGATCATCCCTCCTTATTTATAGAATGGGAGATGGAGAAGAGGGGGAGTGATTGCCAAAAGTCACCTAGCTAATGGGTGGAGTCAGGACTTGAACCCAGGTCTTCTAACTACTAGGCTAGTGTTCTTACCACTATAAAAGGAAACTTCAGACACATAAGAATTAATGAACATTGCAAGACAGCGTGAAATTGAGTGATGTGCTTAAGTGGAAAGAACACCAGACTGAATCAGGAGATCTGGGCTCTAGTCACATTCCTGTCACTAGCCAGCTGTGTGACCCTGGCAAGTCATTTAAGTTTCTGAGGAGGTTGGTCTAGATGCCTGCTAAGTTCTTCCCAGATGTATGATTCTCCATCCTTAATTCTAAGACTAGCTGTGTGGTAAGGCTTCAGAGGAAGGAGACATCATTGTGGGCCTGAATAGTTAGGGAAGGCTTCATGGTGGAGGTAAGATGAGACTTGGGCAGTGAAAGATGGGGAAAACAAGATGGCGGTGGAAAGGCGGTGAGCAAGATGACAATGTCCATTCCTTTCCTTCTCCTCTGGCCTGTCCAGGTTAGCTGACCTCATGCAGGAACACCAGGAAGAGCTGGCCACCATTGAATCTGCTGACTCAGGCGCCGTGTACACACTGGCCTTGAAGACACACGTGGGCATGTCCATCCAAACGTTCCGCTACTTTGCAGGCTGGTGTGACAAAATTCAGGTAGGATCTGTCAGGCCCTGACCTCCTCTCCTAAAGTCTGAGCCAGCATGGGTCAGGTAGGTCAACGTCCCCCCAAAAAAGGATTCTCTGAGGAGGGCGCCAGCCTGCTTAGGAGACACGTGACTCACCAGTTTCCCTTTGCCTGTTCTGGAAGTTGAGTGGCCTATGGCCTTCAGGATGGAGAACCCCGAGACACCTAGGATAGAAAGCAGTTCTCATGGAATTTAAGCTGTGTTTTAAATCTCTCCATTCTCAAGTACAAAGCTCAGTAGTAGAGATAGAAAGAAGCCTACAATACAGGGCCTGCTCTCTGGGAGCTTGTTGTCTAATGAAGGGAAGGACGCTTACATAAATAGCTACGATACAAGAAAAAGTAAGATAATTATAAAGAAGGGGTCATGGAAACCCCCATGGTTTATACAATGGAAAGAACCCTGGATTTGGAGTTAGAGGTTATAGCTCTACCACTCACTGTGTTACCTTACACTTTCTGTTCTACTGTAAGGGACGCCTGACTTCCTATTTCCAAGCCAAGGACAAATTGCCAAGCTATCCAATGGGCAGTATACCCCTAGCTGGGGGTATGGGGGAGGGAAAGGAGGACTAAAGACCTTGACACATCCTTGTGTTTGGTTTCCAGGGTACCACCATCCCCATTAACCAAGCAAGGCCTAACCGCAACCTTACCTTCACCAAGAAAGAGCCAGTTGGGTGAGTCCTATCACTTCGGAATGCTTTCATAGGAGGGTTTGGTAGCAAAATTGGCAGAAAATTGGACCTGGTCAAATGGCAGGCCTCCCTCAAGACTAACTGTGACCCTACTTTTGTGAGAGGCAATGTGGTGCAATTAATGAATTAACAAGTATTTAAGCACCTACTGTATGCCAGGCACTGTGCTAGATACTAAGGATAAAAAGGCAGAAGTGTGCAGCTTACATTCTATTGGGGAAATAACATGTACATATAAGTATATGCAAAATCTGTGCAAGAGAAAAAAAGATAATTTTAGTGAGAAGAGATACTAGCAACTTGGGGAGGTGGGGTGGGAGGCGTGGAAGGAGAGACCTGGTTTTAAATCCTGGCTCTGTTACCTACTAGCTGTGTGATCTTAAGCATTTCACTTAGTGAACTGGTTCTCAGTTTCCTCATCTGTTAAATGAAGGGTGGTCAAACTGTAAGGTCCCTTCCAATTCTATACCTATGAGCCTCTCAAAGCTTTCCAAAGATACAGCTAATGGGAATAATCAAGCTAAGCCCACCCTGGGAGGGATGCTGGTGGCTTCCTCTAGGGCCATGTGACTGGAGAACTTACTTGGAGAGGCTGATCCCCACCCTCTGCTCCCCTCAGACTTTTTTTTTTATTTTTCCCCCTCATACTTATAAAAAAGACCTAGGACTCAAACGCAGTCTTTCCAGAAAAAGTCCCCACTGGCACCAAGCCACCCTAGAAATAGCTGCCTGGGCAACTGAGGCATAACAGCCTTGTCTTTGGGGCCTTCCTATCTCATACCACAACCATCCCTAGACACTCATTCCCTTGGGTTAAGAAACTGAAGACTTCCTTAAATAAATTAGCAAACATTATATAAATAAATTAACAAGTTAAGTACATCCTATGTGGCAGAAGCCTTAGAATGCAAATATTTCAGAAGAGCTGCTTTGAGGCTAATGTGGACATGATAGACAGCTTCATATATTAGTAGGGTCATCCTGCAGAACAGAATCATAGCATGTCAGATGGGAAAGGGGTCATATTAGTCCAACCAGGCCATTTGACAGATGAGAAAACTGAGGCGGCAAGAGGCAGGATGACCTGGCAGAGAAGAAAGGAACCTTTGATATCAACCAGTAGAACCACTCCATTTTGTAGATGAGAAAAATGAGGCCCTGAAGAGCCATGATGATTTCGTAGCAGAGCCAGGTCTAGAACTAAGGTCTCCTGGATCTGAGTCCAGGCTTCTTGCCTGGTTACTCATGCTAGATTAGGATCGCACAGAGGAGGCAGGGAAGATGGAAAGAGGCAGGATGGGATGGGGGAGGGACTCCCGCCTGATCACCTCGGTGTTTAGGGTCTGTGGCATCGTCATTCCCTGGAATTATCCCCTGATGATGCTCTCCTGGAAGACCGCTGCCTGCCTGGCAGCTGGCAACACGGTAGTCATCAAGCCAGCCCAGGTGAGTTGCCTCAAGGTACAATGATTGTTGTTGAGGTTGATAGGGTGGAGAGGAGGGGAGAGGGTGGACATAATTATAACAACGTGTGCTTCTCAAATCTGAGTCCTAGTGGGAGATCCCTCTACCATGGAACTCTGTAGAGCAAGCTATCCATTTGGCCCATCATTGTACAGTGATACTATCCTTGAACTTTCACTTTCAAGCCCAGGGTTTGCTCATTGGTTTGGGGGAGGAACTCGCATCTCCAGCCATCTCTCCCACCAGGCTAACTCCAGGGGTCCAGTTTCTTTTCTGGGTAGCTACCCAGCCATGTCCACCTGTACCACATTATCTCAAGGGAGAGGGTCTAGTGCTTAGGCAATATTATGGCTTTATTATTTATAGAAATGGCAGAGTGTCATGAGAAAGCAGTAGACTGGGAGTCAAGACTTGGGTTCAAGCTCTGGGCTAGTCATTTTTCCTTATCTGTAAAACAGGAACAGTAATACAAATACTACCCACCTTGGTAGGTATGCCAAGGACATACAGCCAACAAATTCTTTTTCATTCTTTCTTCATCTCTTTAATAAGAGGATTCGTTTTTCATCAGCTGAGAGTAAGACTACGGGACACACAATGAATGTGGGAGTAAGCAGAGGGGAGGAGGGTGCCAATAGATAGGAGTTACTAGAAGGGGAGGTAAGAAGACACAGAAACTGGTTTTTACCAACTTTACAACTTTGCTGATGGAATATTACAGAAGATCAGGACAGAGAGAAACCAGTGTGGGTTGGAGTTGCTGCAATAATAAAGTCTCTATGGCTCACTCATATGACTCTAGATCTATATACCTGGCTTGTAGCCCCACATCACCAATTACTTATTGGACATTTCCAGCTGGATATCCCAGAGTAATCTCAAACTCGACACATCCAAAGCAGAACTCATTACCTTTCCCCAGACTCCCCTATTTCTGACAAAGGCACCATCAGTCTTCCAGACTCCCAGCATCATCCTTGCCTCCTCACTCTCCCTTACCCCACATGTCCAATCAATTTCCAAATCTTGATGTTTTCTCCCTTTCCAATATCTCTTGTGTCCAAACTTCTCTACTCACCTAGCCGCCATCTTAGTTAAGGTCGTCATCGTCTCTAAACTTTCGCAATGGCCTCCTGCTTGGCCTTACAAACAGCTTACAAATTGATATGTCTGACCATATCATTCCCGTGATCACTGAACTCCAGTCTGATAGACAATGGGGAGCCTCTGAAGAATTTTGAGGTGAGAAGTGACCTTGGTACAATGGAGTCATCAGTTGATCCTCGGAATCGACAGTAACCTGTTACTCCTAGGATCAAATAAAAATGCCTTTTATATAAATATAAGGCCCTTTACAATCTGGTTCCAACCTGTCTTTCCAGCCTTACAATACACTACTCTCCTTCTTTTGCTCACATCAAACTATCTGTCTTGCAGCTCCTCACACACAATAGTCGTCTTATATTTTGGTGCCTTTACACAGGCTGTATGTACCCCACAGGAGGCCATCTCCAGTAGTCCCAATCTATATCTGACCACTGGACCCAGATGGTCCCACACGAGAGAGTAAGGCTGGTGATTTTGCACAGCCCTCCCTCACTAAAATCCAATTCACTTGCAAATCATAGGGTCACCTTCCTGATGTCATGGTCCTCTTCGAGAATGAAGGACGAACGACAACAATGAACTCTGTGTCTGGAATCATTTCCCTCCTCACCTCTGCCTCTTAGAGTCCATAGCTTCTTTCAACACTCCCTCCACACACCAGCATCTCCTTTATCAGGTCATTCCTGATTCCACTCCCTACTATTAGGGCCTCCCCTAGTAAAAAATTACTTTCTGTGTATTTGAATATATTTTGTGCACATTTACACATTTATGTTTTGTCCCTCCTGATAGAATACAAGGTCCAAGAGGGCAAAAATTGTTCCATTTTTGCCTTTTGTATCCTCAGCATCTAGCATAGAGCCTGACACATAGTAGGTGCATAATAAGTGATTGTTAATTGAGTGATGATGACATCAAAAATGCATTAGGCGTTTACTCTTTCCAGGGCTTAGCATTAGGTGTTGTCAAGTCTTCCAAGAATAGAGAAGAAAGAATGGAGTCACGAAGAAAACACTGGGCTTGTAATCAAAAGGCCCAGGCTGGAATTCTGGCTCTGCCACTTACCTTGTGACCTTGAACAAGTCACCTCCTTACTCTGTTTTCTCCCCTGCTGAAAGGAGGATTGGTTGGTTTTTAAAGTTGTTTAGAGTTTGAGAGGATCTTAGTAGTTATCTGGTCCAATGCCTTCATCCTATGGCTCTGGAGAGATGGATACACTGGAGGAGGGCATCCTGGTAAGGAGAAAGAGGTGAGCTTGGTTGTTCAGCTGGAACCATTTAATCATATCAAAAATGATAGCTCCATTTTTCTATGTGTGATGTCTGGAAGTCACCCAGTGCATAAAATAGAAGAGAGTGGCCTGGGAGGGCCAGTGGGTCTGAGACTGCAATTCTTTTGCTGTACCGCCAGGTGACACCACTGACTGCCTTGAAATTTGCAGAGCTGACAGTGAAAGCCGGCATTCCCAAAGGTGTGGTGAACGTGCTACCAGGATCAGGTAAGGGGGCAGCAGGAGAGGGGAGTGTTTTGCCATCTCCCTTCTCAAGAAGAAAAGGCAGGACATCTCAGCTGGCCAACTTCTCCATTTGAAAGTCCTATAGGGAGCTCGAGCATCTCCAAAGACCAAGAATCTGACCTTGGGAAAGGGCTAACTAGGAAAAAGGGATGGTAGTAGTAGTGGTGGTAGTGGTGAGGATGGTGATGACACTACTACTACCACCATTACTACCACCACCACTACCACTACTTCCTCTTCCTCCTCCTCCTTCTGCTACTGCCACTGCTACTATTACTACTACTACTACTACTACTACCACTACTACTACTACTACTACTACTACTACTACTACCTCCTCATCCTCCTCTTCCTCCTACTATTACTACTAATAATAATTAATGATAATAAAAAAGCAATGGGCAAATGAGGGATAAAGTAGAAACAATTGAGCATTGAAAATCATACTAACCATTTGGGAGCTCAAGGTAAATCTACCTGAGTCTACTCTCACCTGCCATCTTGTATACACTCATGATAATGGATAGAGAATACCGACCTTGGAGTCAGAAAGGACTGGGTTCAACCTAATAGCTGTGTGTTGGTGGACATGTCACTTTAACCCCTTTGGCCCTCACCTATACAATGAGGGGGTTGAGTCGATCACTTCTGAGGTCCCTTCTGACTCAAAATCTATGATCCTATGATCATTTGTGAAGCGCCTACTATGTGCTAGGTGCTGTATACAAAGATGGGTATAATGGAAAGAATCCTAAACTTGTAGTCAGAAGACCCAGGTTTGAGTCTGCATTCTGATATGTATTATCTATGTGATCATGAGCAAGGTGCCTATTCTCTCTGGGCCTCAGTTTCCCCATTTGTAAAAAGAGGACATTGGACTGGATCCCTAAGGTCCCATGTAGCAATAACATGCCACAATTCTAAGTTTGAAAGGGGCAGCAAGGTGTTGCAAAGAGATAACTGAAATAGGAAACAGTGCCTGGGTCCTGATCCTGACTTTGCCACTAACTTACAGTCTGGCCACAGTCGAGTGAGGTCTCTTCTGGGAACCTCAGTTTACTCCTTTGTAAATCTGGAATCAGTGATCCTCAAGGTTCTAGCCATCTCTGGTTTCCTAGAATCCAGCCCTCCATTTATTCCATTCTTGGATCAAATGCTAGCTCTCTCTCTGCACACAGACAATGAATTACACACAGCCACGGTCTAGCTGCTTGCTTTCTTCCTTAATTAACAGCAGCTCTCCAGGAGCCAGTAAGTGGATGGGGGTGGGTAGGACATCCCTGGTGATCTGGCCTGGTGATTCCTCCAATGACTTTCCTACCCACCTGGTATACTGCTAACACATCTGTCAGCAAAGGGCTAATTGAAATTCTAACTAGGACATCACAAAAGCACCCCTCTCTACCTCCTGACTTCTGCTGAAAGGAGATGGGTTGGGGCAGTAGAATTGGCCCGCATTTCATTTCAACCTTCCCTGACTCTGTCACTGGCTGGGAATTTGCTGGATCGAGGGCAAGGAGGTAAATGTCATCTGCTCAGGGAAAGGGAGCCAAGAGTCCTGGGATCGCTGCCCAGCTTTGCCACTGGCTTACCTAATAATACTAATAACAATACCAGTGATGGTGTTCCTACCTCCACCTTATTTGCACTGCCCTCAAAACACATTCACACCCATTACCTCATTTGTTTTGATGAGGCAATCCTGTGAGACAGGACAGGTATTATCCCATTTTACAGATGGGGAAAGGGGATTTCAGAGAAGGCGACACCTAAAATCACACGTGTAGGGAGGCAGCAGGCCCTGCTGATAAATAACGGTGATGGGGAATCACAGGTTTAGAGCCAGAAGGGATCTTGGAAGCCATTTATTCCAACCCCCTCATTTTACAGATGAAGAAACTGCCAGGATGTTTAAGTGACTTGCCCAGGATCATATGGGTATCACAGGAAGGATTTTAACCTAGAACCTTTGACTCCAAAATCAATGTAGAATTCAGCTCTCAAGGAACAGAGTAGTAAAGAAGTTCACCTCTCTTGCCCGTTATCCCTAATTTTGCTGTCCTTGGGAGCATTCAACCCCAAAGACCCAATGAAATAAATAATTAATAGGCATCTGTGGAGTACCAACTGTATACCCACCCCTGTGTTAGGCACTGGGAACACAAATACAAATATATGGTGGGGGTGGAGGAAGAGGGAAGGAGAGGGAGAGAGAGAGAGAGAGAGAAGAGAGAGAGAGAGAGAGAGAGAGAGAGAGAGAGAGAGAGAGAGGAGAAGAAGAAGAAGAAGAAGGAGGAGGAGAAGAAGAAGGAGGAGGAGAATAAGAAGGAGGAGAGGGAAAAGAGAAGAAAAGGGAAAAGAGAGAGACATATATATATGGAGAGAGAGAAGAAGGAGGATGAGGAGGAGAGGGAAAGGAGAAAAAGGAAAAAGAGACAGAGACATATATATATATGGAGAGAGAGAGAAGCCCATCCCTCAAGGAGTACTCTGCCTACAGAACACCCCATAAGAGCCATTCCATCTCATAGCATATTAGGTCTGAAAGGGGGACCTTGGGACCTTTAGGGATTGTCTACACCAATCCCCTTATTTTCCATAAAAGGAAACTGAAGCTTAGAGACTGAATTGTCCAACATCACACAGCTTCTGCATGATACAATGGGGACCAGAACCCTGACTATGGACAACCTAGTCTAGTCCTCTTTCTACCACAGCAGGCTATACAGGACTTTGAGATTAAAAGTCTTTGACACTCAAAGGAAATGAGTTCTAATGGTAGACCTTCAGACGGTGAGACAGGTATTTCTATAGCATCACAAAGACAAAATCATGTATTCCAGCATATAAGGCCAACCCTCATATGTAGCCTGTTTTCTTCTGCTTATGCTGTCTAGGGGGCAGGGGGCAAACAGGAAGATTCTGTAACATGGGAGACTATTAGAGCTGGAAGGGACTGGTGAGATCAATTAACTCAATTCCCCATTTCACAAAGGAGGAAACTAAGGATAGGATATGTAACTGATTAGATAGATGGAGGGATAGATAGGTAGACGGACAGACAGACAGACAGATAGATAGATAGATAGATAGAAGATAGATAGATAGATAGATAGATAGATAGATAGATATGTCTATGGATATAGCTATAGATAGATATAGATACACACACATATACACACACACTTATATAAACTTGCTCAGAGTTTCATGAAGAGTTAATTGCAGAACCAGAATCTGATCCCAGGTCTCTTATCTTCTAGCCCAATATGTCTTCATATCTACCTCCACAAAGAGTAACTGCCTCCCCTGCTAGCCTACACGTGCACTGGCAGAGTCCACATGAGTTAGCATCCACTTGCTCCCCTCTGAGCAGAAGGAGAAAGTAGGCTTGACTAATGCTGGCTTTTTGGTCACTGACAAATTGTGCCTGCCCTCTGTGGCTGCTTATTCTGCAGAAATGGTGGTTGATCTGCCAGTCACCAAGGTGGGAAACCAGGCATATCGTGGCCAGTTTATTTTCAGAGTAAACCCCAAGTAAAGGAGAACTTTGTACTCTGAATCAGACCGAGATCTAGGCCATGGCGGAGGGCATTTAGGGTGCTCTGCATTAAGAGATATAGGGTGTACAGAATGAGAGGTATATAGTTGTGCTATAGTCTGCCTTCATTAGACCATGTTTGGGCTACTGTGTTCAGGTCCACGTACCACATTCTGGGAAGGAGGTTGACAATCTGGGAGGGATTAAAACCCAAGGAGGGTAACCATATGAAAACCAGTTACAAGACCTGGGAATGTGAATCCTGAGGAAGAGAAGATTTAGGGGTTACATGATATCTGTCTTTTAAGTATTTGAGAGATTGTCATGTAGAAGGGCCACTAGGTGGCGCCATAGTGCATAGAGTGCTGGGTCTGGAGTCAGGAAGACTCTTCTGAGTTCAAGTCCAGTTATCAGATACTTAGTAGATGTGTGACCCCAGGCAAGTCACTTAACCCTGTTTGCCTCAACTTCCTCATCTGTAAACGAGCTGGAGAAAGAAATGGCAAACCACTCCAGTGTCTTTGCCAAGAAAACCCCAAATGGGGTCACAAAGAGTTGGACACAATTGAAACAACTGAACAATATGTAGAAGATGGATTAGATGCCATCCACCTGGAAAAGGAGCCATAGTGTAAGAAGTCAATAGAGGCCTGGCCTTGCCTCTGACATATACTGACTATGTAACCCTGGATGAGTCACTTGAAGCCTCCATGCTCTAGACAGCTCTCTAAACAAAAAGGTGACAACCTACAATTGGTAGAGAGATTTCCTCATCTGAGAGTTCCCTACACTACTGAAATCACAGGTTTCAAGCTCTGTCTCCACTTGACCTCAAAGGGCAGTACTTAGAGTGATGGAGAGAAGTTTCAGGGAGAGAGGGATTTTAAACTCAATATATGAAAAGCTTGCTGACAATTAACACTCTTTTGAAGTTGGAATAGACTATTCCAGGAGGTGAAGGATTTTCCTCTCACTCTTCAAGCCAATGCCAGATCACCCCTTATTTGGGAGGAATCTTATTCAGGTCTGGATTGGACCAGATGGTCTCTGAGGGGCCCTCCAATTCAAAGTCTGTGAATTAATCCATTATAACAATATAACAAACTGGAAATCTCACAAAGAGATGATATATTTCTTCCATGACAACACTCCTTCCATGACAACCATACCAGTCCTGCCTGGGACTTAGCCCTCTGGATATAAGCTTCTCCAAGGTCATCTAAAACCTTAATAATAGGCCATTGTTGTGCCCATACTCAAAGTCTTTTCAGATTGGAAGGGTCTGCCAAAGAACTGTGTCCTGCTGGCATATCCTGCCATCAGTCTACAAGGAGTCAAGTTCAGGAAGACAGGGTCATCTCCACAATACAAGGAGGCATCAGAGGAGGCATTAGTGGAAATCTTATACTATGTCCAAGCATCGAATGTCGCATCGAAACATAGAGTTTGGATTTTGTTTTGTGGTTTTTGATCTAGACCTGGGATTTTATTCATTTGGGAACTCACAATAGAGAAAAACCCCTCCCATGGTGTATATAGCCTTAGAAATTTTCCTAGTACAATCAGACATTATATATGTTCATGGCCCCAGCTGATATATGTTAAAGGCAGGATTTGAATTTGGGTCTTCCAGAGTCCAAGGCTAGCCCTCTATTTACCACACCTTACTACCTCTCATAACAATTCGTAAGATTTAGAGATGGAAGGACTCCAAGGGGTCATCTATCCCAACCCCTCATTTTATAGAGGAGAAAGCTAGGGCCTAGAGATGTTGGAGCTAGCCCAAGACCACGTAGGTGTTAAGTTGAAGAATCAGGATTCAAACCCAGGCTCCCTGTTTCCAAATCCAGTGTCCTGCCTGCCTTCAGCCTCATTCAGAAAATCCAGTCCCCTGAAATGGAGTTAAATTGAAGGCTATATTCACCCCATTCCTTGAAGGACAGAAGTCACATGACCTCCTCAGTGAAGAGAGGAAACATTTCCATATGCCCATACCATTCTTGGCACTATCTAAAATCCTAGGATGTCAGTGTTGGAAAGGGCCTTGGAGGGTCTCTATTCTAACCTTGTTTCTATGATATTCAGAAGAGGTGATCTGTGTTGATTGTTTCCATGATGAGAAACTCCCTATCTCACAAGGCATACCATTCCATTGTGTTGAAGTTACAACTGTCCCTTTGAGAGTACAGAGCATTAGAATTGTTATTCTCTCAATACATACGTGTAGGTCATAGGGACATAGAATGTTAGAGCTGGGAGACCTCAGAGCTTATCTAGATTAGCTACCTCATTTTACAGAAGAGGAAACTGAGGTCCAAAGAGATTCAGTGACTTGCCTAAGGATAGAGCAGAGCCAGAATTTGAACTCGGGTCAGGTGTCAGTAGGAATAGGGAAGTGGTAATCCTGCTGTTTTGCCCTAGTCATATCACATCTGGAACACCGTGCTCATTTTTGTGAGGCAGCTGGATGGTACAACGGAGAGCACTGGTCCTGAATTCAAGAAGACCTGAATTTATAACCCAAACTCTGACACTCACTGGCTATGTGACCCTGGGCAAGTCGCTTAATCTCTGTCTGCACAATTTCCTTAACTATAAAATGGGAGTAATAGTAACACCTATCTCCCAGGGATGTTGTGAAGATCAAATGAAATATTTGTAAAGTGCTTGGCCCACGATTGATACATAACATTTCCTCTCCTTCCTGTAAAGCACTACATTTTAGGAAGAGCACTGATAAGCAGGGGAGAGTCTAGGGGAGTGTGACCAGTATGGTAAAGGTCCATGAGATCGTGCCATGTGAGGAGCAGTAGAAGGACCTGGGAATGGTTAGCCTGAAGAAGAGAAGGCGTAGGAGGGACAGGAGAGCTGCCCTCAAGTATTCAAAGTGCTATTACAGGAAGAGGCAGCAGACTGCTCTGTTTGGCCCCAGAGGGCAGAGCTGGTAGCCATGTGCAGAAGACACAAAGAGACAAACTAGGCTGGCCATGAGGAGCAACTTACTTTTAAGCTGATCCTGGCATAGGCTTTTTAAGGATTGTTTTACTGACCCTATCTCTTTGATCCTAATAACAACCCTATAAGCTATTCTTATGATCACCATTTTACCAATGAGGAAATAGAAGCCAGATTACTTGCCCATAGTCACACTTCTAAGTAAGTGTCAGAGGTTCAAGTGGAACCCAGATCTTCCTGGCTCAAGCCCAGCGCATGATTCAGTGACCCATTTCCCAGCCACTGCAAATGAAAACTTCCAAGTTCCCTCTTCTAGACTGGAAGAGATGATCTCTCCTTCCAGCTCTAAATCCATGACCTATGATCCTAATCACCCAAACTGTCTGATTGAGAATGGGCTGACTCAGTGGTTTCCCTCTCTCTCAACACCTTCAGCCATGGCTGATCCTGGATAATCATTTATATGCATTGTTGGGGGAGGGGTTTCTTGCTCAGGCTCCTGTAACGTCCTCTAAATCGGAGAATATGCTTCATTGTCATACTGGAACTTTCAACAATGTGTTAAGAATCCATCCTAACCCTTCAGGTAGCCTGCTGACTCTCCTTGTGATGGCTGTCCATGGCTCAGCCTAGGCTCCCAACCCTTCCCATTCCACTCTGAGGCAAATCTAGCCAAGATTTCACGTCTCTAGGGGCCAGGACTTTGGGAGACCGAATCTTAGGTAAAGTTCATTGTCTTCCAGACCACTAGTGTCAAATAGAAAAGGAAGCCCCTAATTGGTTCATAAGGATCCCCCCTGGCCCATTAAAATGTAATATTACCTATGCTTTATTGTATTTTTATTTATTTTGTCAAATATTTCCCAATTACATTTTAATCTGATTCAAGCTGTGCTCAGGGGTGTTGCAGGTCCTTTATGTATGACATCTCTGCTCCAAACCCTTTCAGAGTTAGGATTCAGGAAGGAATACTCCAATTTATGGGGGCTATAGGAGTAGAGAAGGTCATAAACTCCCGCAGAACCCACAAGGGACATATTAACTAGCTAATGATGGGGAGGGGGCAGTTAATGTGTAGAGTAATGCAGTGGGAGAGGCTCTGGATTTGGGATTGGGAGACCAGTGGTCTCATCTACTTGCTACATATGCAACATTAAGGAAGTTATTCAATATTTCTGAGCTTTGGTTTCCTCCCCTCTAGGATGAGGAAATGACTTCTGTTGTCCCTTCTAACTCTAAATCCTATATTAAGCGGCCCTTTCGTTATGAGAGTAATTCTCCTCTGCCTGCAGAGAATTCTTTACAGACTCAGAACAATAGTTTGGCTTGCTGAGTGGACTCGGCCTGGAATTTCCATTTCTCTTGTTGAAAGCTCTCCTGAAAGGGGGGAAGGGGGTGAAGATGATGGCCTTCCTTTGCACAGTAAGCCAAGGAGGCCTGCCTTGTGCACCAAGTTTCTACTGGCAGCTCAGCTGGTCAAAGAAAGATATCAGGCCAGGGTCGAAAAGGAAGCAAGAGTTGGCAGCTTCTCAGGTGTGTTACTGGCCAGAAAAGCAAGCCCATCCTCATCAGCCCATGGGTTATGTCATTTAGGGGTCTCAGGGATCTCCAGAAGCCCTGCTTTCACACTCTGTAACCCCTCCTTTGGACAGGTTCCTTGGTTGGACAGAGGTTATCAGATCATCCAGATGTGAGGAAAATTGGGTTCACAGGCTCCACAGAGATTGGAAAACACATCATGAAGAGGTAAGCACGTTGTGGGAGCAGGGTGGAGATATACTGGATATGGATGCCTTTGGGGAAGAGGTTTCCCTTTCCTGGTTCCTGAAATCTATTTAGGCAGCCACCTGTTTAACCTACACATAAGACTATCCCTAAACCTGAGCACTAATCATCTCCAAAGTACCTCAGATTCCACCATCTTTTACCCATGGAAACTTTCCAATCATTGTGGTCTTTGTCTACTGTGATAATAATGGCTTATGTTTATGTAGAGCACTTTAAAGTTCACAAAGCACTCTTCAAACACTATTTCATGTTATCCAGTGAAGCAGAGGTGCTGTGATCATGCCCATTTTACAGGTGAGGTTACCAGTGCTCAGAGAGGTTAAGGAATTTTCCCAGTCCCATAGCTGTTAAATGTTTAGGCAGGATTCAAAGCCAGGTCTTTTTGACTCAAGGGTGAGGGCTCTATCCACCACATAGCCCTACCTCTATAAAGAGAAATCTGCCTGTTAGTTATTTTAAAGCCAAAGTGATGGTTTTAGGAAGAAGATAAACACATACATGAAGAGCCAGAGACTTGTCACAGGCTATATATAGTCAGTAGGGCATTTAATACCTGCATCTATTTTTACTGAAATCCTTTCCTGGAAATCACAGCATGAGACAGCAAAGATGCGCGTGGTCAGAGGCAAGGGGCTGAACTGAAATTCTGCTGCACTGAAGGTGACAGCTTAGCATGGCATTAATCATGATCCTGACAACAGCTCACATTTAGATACACCAGCCATTGTTGCTTTCTTTTTTCCTTCAGAATTGTGATTCCATTGGGGTTGGAGAACTCCTACTATGTAAATTCCTTCCACCAACACAGATCAGCAACTAAACTATGGAAAGAATAGTAGAAAAAAGAAAGAATAGTAGAGAGTTGTCCGACATCCCACAGCCACAACGTGCCAGAGGCAGCACATCAACTCTGGTCTTTCCCACTGTCAACTCTTATCCACTATGCTGCCCTGCCTCTCAGCTAGGGAATATAAATATTGCTATTCCTAGTTGAGAGAGAAAACTAAAACTCATAAAGGTTAAACAATTTGCCAAGCCATGACTCAAACCAATGTCTTATTTTGAGTTCAGAATTCTTTCATGTGTGTGTGCGTGTGTATGATGGAGACAGAGAGAGACAAATGGGAGGGAAAAAAGGGAAAGGGGAGAGAGGAGGGAGAAAGGGGAAAAGGGAGGAGGGGAGAGAGAGAGAGGAGAAGGGGGAAGAGGGAAAAGGGAGGGAGGGAGAGGGGGGAGGGGTCTACTTGCTCTTCTCTCTATGCCTTTGTGCTGGCTGATCCCCATCCCTGAAATGCACTCCTTCCTCATTCTTCTGTCTCTTGGAGTCCCTGACTTCCTTCAAGACCCAGCTCAAGACCTTCTTTATGAAGCTTTTCCTCACACTCTCTGAAGCTAGGGCTGGGACTGGGAGGATGGTGTTACTCTCTATAACAATAGGAAAGGTCGGAGGTGGGGAGATTTTAGGGGAAAAGAAAATGAGTTCTATTTTGGACATACTAAGTTTAAGATATCTACTGGATATCCAGTACAAGATATCTGAAAGGCAGATGGAGATGAAAGATTAGAGACTGGAGTAGGACAGGTAGATTTGAGAATCATCAGCATAGAGATGGTAATTAAATGCATGGGGAGCTGATGAGATCCCCAAGTGAAATGGTATAAAAGGAGAAGAGAAGAGGACCCAGGACTGAAACTTGAGGGACATCTATGGTTAGAGGGTGTGATCTGGAGAAGGATCCAGCACAGGAGACAGAAGGAGCAGTCAGATAAGAAAACCAGAAGAATGGTGTCTTGAAAACCTTGAGTGAAGAGAGTATTAAGGGAGAGAGTGATCAACTTAGAGAGGTCAAAGAGAATGAGGATTGAGAAAAGGCCATTGGATTTAGCAACTAAGAGATCATCAGTAACTGGAAAGAGCAATTTTGATGGAACAGTAAGGTCAGAAGCCCTATTATAAGGGGTATAGGAGATAATGTGGAGGCCCCTGTTGTAGGTGGCATTTTTGAGGAGTTTAGCTACAAAGGGCAGACACATATAGGATGAGAGTTATGGAAGGGAGGAATCAAGGGAGGGTCGTGTTGTTTTTAAGCTGGGGATGTTTGTGGGCAGCAGAAAATGAGCCCGTAGAGAGGGAGAGACTGAAAATAAGTGAAACAGGGTGCAGTCTTTTGGAGGAGATGGGAAGGAAGGGGATTGCTTGGTCAAGTGGAGAAATCAGCCTTGGTAAGAAGTAAGGTCAGTGCAGCATGTGAGACAGAGGTGAAGAACGAGATAGCGGCAGGAGGAGAGAGTCAGGAAGACCCAAGTTCAAATCTGGTCTAAAACACTTTACTAGTTGTGATCCTGGGCAAATCATGTAGCCTCTGCCTTGGTTTCCTCAACTGTAAAATGGGAATAATACTACCACCTACCTCACAGGGTCATCAGGAGGAATGAATGAAGTGATATCTGTAAAGCACTCAGCACAGTGTCTGACACATAGTAGGTGCTTAAGAAAAGCTTCTTCCCTTTTCCACTTTCTGTTTTTGAGCTTGTTATCCACTAAAAACTCCCAGATCCTTTGTTGAGTCTTGCCAATTCGCCTTTATTTTACACTCACGTGTTTGACTTGTGAACCCAAAAATCTCTATCAAATTTCGTCTTCTTAAATTTGTCCCATTGTTCATGCTGTATGCCAGGCACCATGCTAAGCATTTTTTTTCACAACTATCTCATTTGATCCTTGAACAACCATATGAGATAGGAGCCCCATTTTACAGTTGAGGAAACTGAGGCAAATAGAAGTTAAGTGACTTGCCCAGGATCCCACAGCCATTAAGTATCTGAGACTGGATTTGAACTCAGATCTTCCTGGCTCCCAGCATTCTATCCACTGTGCCACCAGATGTTTTGTTTGCTTGTATGCTCCCTTCTCTCTTCTCCTACACCCCCCCCCGGTTCCCCAGTAAGCGTGAGATCTTTTTGGATCCTGACTCTGTCCCTTGATGTATTAGCTATTCCATCAAGTTTCTCATCATCTGCAAATTTGACGAGCATGAGTCATTCCTTCATCCAAGTCACTATTAAAAAAATTCAGTACCACAGAGTCACAAAGAGAATTCCAGGATACTCTACTAGAGACTTCCCTATATTCAGTGGTTGGTTCAAAAACCAGAGCTAATGGTACTTTTTAGACACTTGGGTTCTGATGACATATCCATCTGCTGATTCATCTTAGGACTGCTCTAAAACATTATCTCTGTGTTCATTAACCAGTATTTATTAAGCACTGTGCTAGGCACTAAGGACCAAAACACGAAGAATGAAACTATCCCTGCTCTCAATAAGTGTACAACAAAGAGACAAATACATATAAAAATATACACAGCAAACAAACATAAAGTGAATAAATGTAGATAAAAAGTAGTTCAGTACAGAGGTGTCTGAATGCTCCAACAATCCAGCTTTGTGGTCCTTCAGTGTTTATAATGGTTTGAATTTCTTATCCAAACCTTGCTTTATAAGCCTTGGCCAAAAGCAACAACACTTTGATCTGACACCGACAGCTGTGTTAAGGGTCCTGTATCCATGGGCCGAGATCCACCTTCTAAAGTGACCCTGACTCAGCATTCTTAACCTTTGACTCAGTTTGACTTGCAAGATTTCCAAATTTCTCAGTGAACTTGAATCCAGCCTAGCCCTGCTTACTCTTTTCTGCTTTTTTTTTTCTTCTAGCTGTGCCATAAGTAATGTCAAAAAGGTTTCTCTGGAGCTGGGAGGAAAATCTCCCCTCATCATCTTTGCAGACTGTGATCTGAGCAAGGCCGTCCAAATGGTAATCCTTCTGGGTTCTGTGACTAACAGGGGTGGGTGTGGGTATTCTAGACAGAGGCCAGGGTGGGGATGGAAAAGGTGGGGTTTTAGTGGGGCTGAGTTGAAAACAGACAAATTGAACCCAGCCCTTAGAGGTGTGTAAATCCCAAACGGTAGGTGGCACAGTAGATAGAGTGCCAGACCTGGAGTCAGGAAGACTCATCTTCCTGAGTTCAAATCTGACCTCAGCCACTTACTAACTGGGTGAGTGGGCAAGCCACTTGTTTGCCTGAGTTTCCTCATCTGTAAAATGAACTGAAGAAGGAAATGGCAAACCACTCCATTATCTTTGCCAAGAAAACACTAAATGGGGTCACGAAAGAGTTAGATACAACTGAAAAATGACTCAACAACAAGGACAAATCCTGTAGAGTCGGTGATGAGTTTACAGAATGCCAAGATAGAATAATAATATAAATAACAATAAATAATAACAGTGTTTATGTAGCACTTTAAGGTTTACAAATATTATCTCACTTTATCCTTACAACAACCGTGGGAGATGGGTATTACTACTATGTTCATTATAAGATAAGGAAACTAGAAGATAAATTATCCAGTTTAATGCCTTCATTTTATGTATGGAGAAACAAGCCTAGAAAGGGAAAGTAACTCGCCTTAAGTCATTCAGCCATGTGATGGCAGAACCAGGATCAGAGTCCCGGGCACAGAATCAGAATCTCAGGATCAGAGGTCAAGATGGCATAGTAGGAAGAACCCTGGATTTTGAGTAAAGGATCTTAAATCTAAATCGTGAGGTTCCCCACCCCTGTCCTAGATCTACAGCTGGGAGAGATGTCTAAAGGGACTAATGTAGCCCAACTCCTTTTTTTTTAAACAGATGGGAAAACTGAGGCCCAGAGAGGTTGTCATGTTGATTGCATAAAAGTAGAATAGAAGGATAGCTTAGATTAGCCCCTCTCTCACAGAGCCATTCTGTTCTGATCTGCTCTCATTATAGTCCAAGCTTTGTCCAACATCTGTCTCCAATAATGTTAATCAGCCTGCCTAGCAATTCCTTTGTGGAGAAATGCTTCCTTCCCAAAATACAAAAAGGAAATGAGGTTTCCAGTCCTGAGCCTTGCTGGGAAAATGAAAGTAATGGAATCCTAGAATCTCAGGGTTGGAAGAGCCCCCAGAGATCTGAAGCTGAACCTCACCAGTGAAGAGAGGGTCAGAGCTCCCTTGCGTTTCAGGACAGTTACTTTCTATGTCCCATTTTCCCCATGGGAAATTTCCCAGCCCTCTTTTCTTTACCTCAGTCATTAAAGGAGAGGGACAAGGAAGGTACAGCTCCCGGAGTTTCTGAGATCCTGTTCACAGAGTACTTGAGGGAAAAGGAGGAAGCTGGGTAAGCATTGGTCTGGCTATATTAAAAATAGCAGGTTACATTTCCCTAGCACTACAGTTACATCTTTGTAACTGTATAGTTACAAAGTACTTGAATATCCATTTTCTAATTCAAATTAGATTAGAATCAATTCTCACCAAGCCCTATGAGAAGGGACATATAAGTGTTGGTCCCCATTTTCCATATGAGAGAAGTAAGGTTGGTTCAAAGAAATTGAGATGCCCAAGGTCACACATCTGGGAAGTGGTGAAGACTTAATTCTAACCCTCCTGATGCTAAGTCCAGTGTTCTTTCCACTGATAACAATTAAAATTGGGATAGAAATAAGTCTAGAGATTGGGTCTGTGATTTCATTGGTATGGTGAACTCCCAAGTAAGAAAACTCCAACCAATGCAGGTTGGCACCTTCTCTGTGACTTATAGTCTTAGAGAGTTGCTTAGGGCACTGAGAGATATGAAGTAATTTTCCCAGAGTCACACAGCAAGTTTACAAGATATAGCAGTATCAAAGGAGACACCGAGACCAAGCCAAGAACAATAATAATAGTAGGCATTAATACAGTGTGTCACAAAAGTTTCAGTGCAAGGTTTTAAAATATTAAAGCTTAAAACTGCATTAAGACATTTGGGATGCTCTCTGTAATAATTTCTGTAACTGTTAACATTTCACACAATTTTTTTCTAACAACCCTGTGGGAGTAGGTAGTATAGGTGTTATTATTCCCATTTTACAAATGAGGAAATTGAAACTCCAAGAAATTAAATACTTGTCTATGGCCAAACAGCTGCTAAGCAGCAGAGATAGGAATATGTATGTGTATACATATACACACATATAAATATATGTGCATACACATATATACATATACATCTGAGAGAGAGAGAGAGAAAGAGAAAATCAATTGGGGTTAAGTGACTTGCTCAGGGTCACACAGCTAGTAAGTATCTGAAGCCAAATTTGAACTTGGGTCCTCCTGACTTCAGGGCCCGTGCATGCCACCTAGGTGCCCCTAAGAGCATAGATTTAGAGCTGAAAGGTGCCTAAGAAGCCATCTAGCTGAACCCCTTCATTTTGCCCGTGAAGAACTATAGCCCAGGAACTTGCCCAAGATCACATCAGCAGGAAATCGGCAGATCTGGGGGTTTGAACCCATATCCTCTGACTGTATTACTCTTTCTACTATACCACACAGCTTCAGGGACTTGAGTTCAGGTCTTGTGACCTCAAGCACAGTTCTTCTCAATGTGCTCTACCATGTTTCCCTGTTTTATCTCAGCCTGCTCCCTCCCATTCTACTCTATGCCTAATGTGAGGCTTGGCATTGACCAACCTTGACCTTATCCAGATTGTAGGCTCCCAGCTTGTGGTCACTTTTAGCATATTTTTAAAATAGAAAACTGATTAGCTCCTGAAGTTGTCAGAGTGGAAAAGCACCGGCTTTGAGATCAGCAGATATGAGTTCCAATCATCCCTCTGTCACTTACTACCTTTGGGTAGATTGCTTGATCCATCTGGTTCTATTTCTTTCATCAGTGAAATGAGGGGGTCATACCAAATGAGGCCAAGGTCCCTCCTGGCTTTAAGTCTGGAGTCCTATGATCACAGAAGGAGAGAATCGGTCAGGGATAAACCCTCAGAAAGGCTGCCCTCAGACTTGGTTCACTGAGCTTTGCCAAGCTCTCTGTCACTCCTCATCTCTGCAGGATGCCTTCATACCATGGTATCTCACTAGGGTAGTTCAATTTCTGGGTTATATAGTGGTTGAGACAGGTTCTTGGTTAGACTGTTATGGCTGGTTTCCCGTCGCTTCTGGTACAGACAGGAATGTCAGTAGATATTGGCTAATGAGAGAGACTTATCTGAAAAAGAAGAGTGTGAAAATGGTGAATGGAGGTTTTGAGAAAATGGCAGGGCAAGGGAATAGTTTTGTTGAGTCATTTTCCATTATGCCTGACTCTTTATGACCCCATTTGAGGTTTCCTTGGCAAAGATACTGGAGTGGTTTGCCATTTCCTTCTCCAGCTCATTTTACAGATAACTGAGGCAAACAGGGTTAAGTAACTTGCCTAGGTTCACACAGCTACTAAGTGTCTGAGGCAAGATGAGTATTCCTGACTCCAGGCCTGGCGCTCTGTGCACTCTGGCCCCTCTAGCTGCTTAAGGTGATCTAAGAACAAATTTTTTGAAAAGAATAGCAACTATGCATCCTTCACAATGAGGTGCTTTGTTGGCCCTGGAAAATGGATCCATTGTTTCGGTGGAGAGAGGAAAGCAGATAAACATCTAAGGGAAATGCCTTCCCATCTGCCCAGAGATCTAATACCTGCTCTTCTGTCCAAAGGGCATGAGCTCTGTTTTCTTCAATAAAGGTGAAAACTGCATTGCGGCAGGCCGCCTCTTCCTGGAGGATTCGATTCACGACGAGTTTGTGGAGAAAGTGGTGAGTTCTGACTCTGCCTTTGAAGGAGACACATCTGATTTGTGACCCTGCCTGTGTCCTGGTACTTACTCTCTACCAAGAAGCCCACCCTGACTCCCAGCTCTGTCCCCACCAACTCCACAAGGTGGTAGCAATCTTTCCCTTTCAGACTTTACACTTAGGTACTTCTCCAATGCACTTGATATAATATTGTCTATTATAGACACCTGCTTTTGTTATCTTATTGCCCACCTATTAGATGACAATGTGCCTCTTGAGGTCAAAGTGTCATATCTAAATAAGTGTCTCCCCCAATACCTAGAACAGTGATCTGCATACAGAAAATGCTTAATAAATATTACTTGTTACTGCTAATCGATTGGTAATTTTGAGTATCTGTTATATACAAGGTCTTATGCTAGGCATTGACTCTGCCCTTTGGCTATTACAGTCTGGTGGAAGAAATTTTATACACATACATGTGTGTATATGTATGTTACATATGTATATGCATGTATGTACCCGTGTGTGTGTGTGTGTTATATATATATATATATATATATATATATATATATATATATATATATATATATAAATATATATATATATATATATATATATATATATTGTGTGTGTGTGTATCATGGATAACTGCCATACCACAGGGTATAGCCAGGTCCCAAATGAGAGTACTAGAGGAGGTCAGAGGATGCAGAGATCAACTAGGGAGTTGGGATTACCTGGCCTCCTAGTTCAAAGTCTCTAATTCCCATGACCTGTACCTTCAGTCTCTCTCTGTCTCTGCCTCTGTCTCTCTCTCGCACACACACACACACGTACACGTACACGCACAGAGACATAGACACACCCTTGATCTCACCATTACTCATAAGGGTTCCATTATCAAACATACAGCAAGTCTTCTCTTGGAGCACGTACAACCTCCTCTCCATCTGTCTCTCCTTATTCCTTGTTTCACCATGTTTTCTAACCTCTCTATCCCTCCCTGTTCTCCTAAGCTGTCATCCCTGCTTTTGTTTTACTTCCCTCCCTTCCTATGCTCAACAGCATGGCTAACCAGTTCACCTCCTTATGTCATCCCCTATTCTTAAGTCCCCTGCCTCCTTGTCCTAACCCCACTTATGTCTGGGTAAACCCCAAGGTCTTCATTACTTCCTCCATTTGCCTTCTCTGTTCTTTCTTACTTGCTGCTGAACTGTGCTGGACCCTGGATCTGCTACTAATTTATTTGTTCTCCCATGCCTGGAATGCACTCACTCCTCACCTCTTCAAATCCCCAAACTTCCTTTAAGGTGACACCTCCTACAAGAAGCCTTCTCTACCCCTCTCCAGTTGCTGGTGTGCTCTCACCCTACAAAATCACCTTGTACATATTTTGTATTGACTATCACATTTGTTATATTCTCTTTTCTCAATCCCCATCCCTGACCCAATAAACTCCTTAAGGACAGGAACTGGTTAATTTTTGGCTTTTTATCCCCAGAACCTGTAACTGTGGGTGGCACATAGTAGGCACTTAATATTTGATTGATTGAATTGTAGCTAATTTATTCCATCTTTAAGGAAGGATCAGAATCAGGTAAAGAGATTAGGAGGAAGGAGGAGATGCCCAGGTGAGGAGAACGGCACCAAGTTCAAGACGGTGGTTGCAGAAGACACCTCGCATTTATGTAACACTTTATGGTTAACAAAGTGCTCTCAAAGTACCCATTGAGCTTACTGGCTCCTATGCCAAAGGAGCTAAAGCCGGGTTCTTAAAAGGAATCCGTTGGCTAAAGAATGAGAGGCGAGATTCCATTTAGCCCTGGCAGTGAGCTGCAGACTGAGGACAAACTTGAGAAGGGCAGGTTGTCAGCCAAACAAAGGAAAGAAGGCCTGATTCTCTGTCAGGAAAAGATAAGGTCTGAGAGAAAAGAGGACTATAAATGTCCTCCTTTCCCCCCCTGTGATTGCTATCTTCACACACACACACACACACACACACACACACACACACACACACACACACCATAGCCCTACAGTGACTAGCAGGCAATAATAAAAAAGTGCTTTAAAACTTGTAACAACAGTGCTTTCCCCACAACAACTCTATTAGACAAGCAGTACAAAAACTATTAGGCCCATTTCACAAACATGGAAACCAAGAATACAAATTATGATTATAAGACTTGTCCATGATTATGAAGCTTGTAAGTATCTGAGTCAGAATTCAAAACCAGGTTTCATGGTGGTACGTGCAGACGGTGAGCTGTCTAAACTGGCCAGGGCAGAAGATCATATAGGGGAATGAATGAATGAAGTACTTACTAAGTGCTTACTATGTGTCAGACACTATGATAGGTGCTCATAATAAAATTCAACAGACAGTTCCTGCCTTCCAGAAGCTAACATTCTAATGGGAGGAGACAACACATAAGGGAAGTAGAAGGACAGATAAGGGTCACGTTGTTCAGGCCTGGAATATGAGACTAAGGAATTTGGAATTTATACTGCAGGCAATAAGAAATATTCTAGAGTACAGCATGACAAAAGTGTTGTTTTAGGAAGATTAATCTGTCCTTGGGATACTATCTTAATTGACTAGACAAGAAATAATGAAGGCTTAAAGTCAATAGAGCTGGTAGACATGAAAATAGAGAAAGGGGGATGGATATGATCCTGCAGACACAGAAATTAAGATTTAATCATAATAATAGCTCACATTTATATGGCATTTTAAAGTTTGCAAAGCACTGTATACATACTATTTCACTTTTTTTTCCGTAACAACCCTGGGAGCAGGTGCTATTATTATTCCCATTTTCCAGTTGAAGAAACTGATGCAGGCAGAGGTTAAGTAACTTGCCCAGAGTCACACAACTAATAAGTATCTCAGGTTGGATTTGAACTCAGGTCTTCCTTACTCCAGCTCCAGGGCTCCATCTATATTGTGCTACTGGCTGCCTCATTGACTTGGCGAATGATTGTCTGGGGGTACGGGGAGGAATGACCCAAACCTGTGTGACTGAGAGAAGCAGGGGAGCTATGGATGAAGACAGGGAAGTCCACAGGAGGGCGATGATGAACTTGGTTCTGAGTTATTCCCAACCTTGAACAGGTAGGAGAAGTCAAAAAGCTGAAGATCGGTGATCCCTTGGACCGGGCCACCAACCATGGACCTCAGAATCACCAAGCCCACTTACAAAAGCTGATTGAATACTGCGAGAAAGGCGTAAAAGAAGGCGCTACTCTGGTCTATGGAGGAAAACAGGTTCCCCGGCCAGGTGAGTATCATTACAAGACAACCTTGCAGTGTTTGTCTGAAATGAGTTCAGTAAGGGTGCTGATTCCTGGCTCCAAGCACAGCCGCACAGTGAAGGAAGGTTGGAGCTGGAAAGGACTTTAGAACGTAGAATGTTAGAATTAGAAGTTCAGCACCCACCCATATTTGGGGTGGAGAGGCGGGAAATGCACCTTGCTGGGCGGTCACACAGCTAGTTACTAGAAGGGTTAGGCCTAGAACCCTGGCTTCCTGACTCCAGATCAAACATCCTATCAATTACACTACCTGCCTGCTACTTTAACGGCAGCTAGGCGGCATGGTAGACAGAGCGATGGACCTGGAGTCAAGAAGACCTGAGTTCAAATTCGGCCTCAGATACTTACTAGATATATGATCATGGGCAAGTCACTCAACCTCTTTGCCTCAGTTTCCTCAACTGTACGATGGGGATAATAATAGCACCTACCTCCCAGGGCTTTCATGGGGTTCCAACGAGATAATATTTGCAAAGTGCTTAGCACAGTGCCTGGCATATGGCAGGTGCTTTAAAAATGTTTGTTCTCCTTCATTTTATAGACGAAGGAACTGAAATAGAAAGAGGGTAAATGACTTTCCCAAGACCACCAGCTACTAAATAGCAGACCCAGGTTTAGTTGAACCTTTGTCCCCTGAATCCAACACGTACCAGCTCTAGTATAAATACAGCCACGAAATCCCCTGGACTCCAGACCCTTCTTACAAGATGGTACTGAGTCATGAGAGCTGTTCTCTCCTCTTTTTGTGCCTTACTCACAGTTGGTGCTTAATAAATGTTTTCTAAACGAATAAATGATTCCATCACTTCTCTTTTCTCTCTCTAGGGTTTTTCTTTGAACCAACCATATTTACCAATGTGGAAGATCACATGTTTGTGGCCCAGGAAGAGTCTTTTGGGCCCATCATGATCATCTCCAGGTTCCCTGATGGGTATGAGTCATTGTGGGGTTTTCTTTGAGTTTCACAACATTTTTCCATTTTTATTTGGAGCTGGAGAGTGACCTCTCCTAATATATGGTATCTCTTTGAGAAAACTGCCATGGGGTGGGTGATAGAAGCTTCCTTCTTTAGTTCTCACCCAAAGCATCTTTCCATCACCCAAGGTAGGGTGGGCAAATCTTCATTGACATTTTAGGTCCTCAGTTTCATGTAACTAACTTTAGGGCTGGGTTGGACCAACATAGGATTGCAACCAGGGAAGACTTTGGCAGGTTTTTCATGGCGGCCTTGATATCATTTTCATGCAGGATTCCAGCTTTCAGCTGGAAAGAGCCTTAGAAATGAAGTTGCCCAACCCCCTTGTGTTACAGAGGAGGGAACTGAAGGTCATAGAAGGTTCTTGTTCAAGGTCACAAAGATAGAGTCAGGTCTTTGGACTCCAAATCCAGATTTCTTTCCATATTCTCTCTTATCTTTTGAGTAGGAGGAGAATTCTCCATATCAGCCTTTTCCAATATTCCATTCCCTTTTTCATTATATTCTTCTCCTTCTCCATTCTCTTCCTTCCTCCTCCCTCCCTTCCTTCCTTCCTCCCTGCTTTCCTCCTCTCCTTCTCTCTTTCCCTCCTTCTTTCCTCCCTCTATTTCTTAATTAATTTGGTTATTTGGTTAATTTGGAGGCAACAGCATTTGCCCTCACAGGACTGCTGAGACAATCAGATGAAATAATGGGTATGAAAGTACTCTGCAACCATAAAGTGCTACAGGAATATATCATTTTCTTTTTTTATGTCTTCCCAGGGATATTGATGGTGTGCTACAGAGAGCCAATGCCACAGAATTTGGACTGGCCTCGGGGGTCTTCACCCAGAATGTTAGCAAAGCCTTGTATGTCAGTGATAAACTTCAGGCAGGCACTGTGTTCATCAATACCTACAACAAGACAGATGTGGCAGCCCCATTTGGAGGGTTCAAGCAGTCTGGATTTGGGAAGGACTTAGGTAATAACAAGATGCTCCATTTCTGTTATAGCAGAAACAGCACTGATTTTGAAGTCCCTAGACACCAGCTTTGTGGCTCTGGGTGGGTCACTTAACCTCTGTCTGCCTCAGTTTCCTCATCTGTAAAAGTGCACGTACTACCTCAGGGCTGTTATGAGGGTAAGATGAGATAATATTTGTAAGGTACTTTGAAAACTTTAAAGAGCTTTGTAAATTGTTGTTATTGTTATTATTAATTATTATTATTATTATTATTATACTGGCTTTGTGACCCTGGGAAAGTCACTTAACCTCTTAGTGCTCTGGGCAACTTTCTCAGACTACAAGTCGCTAATGAGAAGGTGCTAACCTGTATTTTTAGAGAGAATTTCCCCACCTGGGAGTTACCTCTACTAATGAAATCCCAGGTGTAGTCTCTATTCCTTTCTCAACCTCATAGCAGCTTTGTCAGATAGCCAGAGCACATGAGATTATACTCTCTATTTTACAGAAAGAGAAACCATAAGCCCAGAGATCGGGAACAGCTTACACACACACACACACACACACACACACACACACACACACACACACACACACGTATGCACACCCATGTGTGTGTGAGCGCATACCCACCCACCTACACACACATATACACACTAGCCATCCTTCATTCTCTGCTCCCATATCCCACTAAGATGTTTTCAGAGGTCACCAACCGCCTAGCTAGGAAACAGCGCTCCAGTCTTACATAGCTTATGTCTCCCTGGGCAAAGGGAGAGTTGTCTAACTCTTTGTTGAATGAATATTCCTGTAGATACCCTGGCTGCATAATTCAGGCCATTATATCTTTTATCCTCAATGGCCTCTGGTGTTTTGCTTGAATTATCTGTCTGATAATAACTGTTGTTGTTGTTCAATCCTTTCAGTCATGTCTGACTCTTTGTGACCCCCTTTGAGGTTTTCTTGGCAGAGATATTGCAGTGCTTTTGCCATTTCCTTTTCCAGACCATTTTACACATGAGGAAACTGAGGCAAACAGGTTCAAGTGACTCACCCAGTGTCACACAGCTAGCAAGTGTCTGAGGCAGAATTTGAACTCAGGAAGATGAGTCTTCCTGACTCTAGGCCTGGAGCTTTATCCACTGCACCACTTAGCTACCCTACAATAATAATAATAGCTCCTATACGTCACTTTCAGGTTTTCTAAATCCATTCTTCACTACAAGGTAGGTATGAGGGTAGATGAGGAGGTATCATGGTGCCCATTTTGTAAATGAATAAACTGAGACTCATAATCTTAAAGCCAGTAAATGTTAGAAGCAGGATTTGAACCCAGATCTCCTGGTTCCAAGTCCAGCATTCTTCCCACTCTCCCATGTTGCCTCAGAGAAGAGGAAACATGGGCAGGAGGACAGTAGGAAGACATCGCAGGGCAGCATGATATATGGTGAGAGAGTGCTGGCCTTGAGCCCCAGCTCGGACCTTTATGGGCTGTGTGACCTAAAGCAAGAGTTTCATTTCACTTGGGCCTCATTTTTGTCATCTATAAAATGGGATTAATATGTCTCAAGGTTATTGTTAGGCAAGTACTCTTTAAACTGTAAACCGTTTGGAAGTGTGAATTATCTTTGAAGAAAACCCAAAGTGCTCATTTTCATAATTTTTCTGAGGGCCAGGCCCATAGACCCTAGTTCTCCAATGGTTATTCAATGAAGCAGAGAAAATTTCCCAGTAAAATTACCACTTCTGGTGGATTTTAGAGGTAAGGAGACAACAGCAGAGAATTTTGGAGTTAGAAGGGCTCTGGAGACCCTTTAGGCCAATCTCTTTATTCTACAGGACAGGAAGATGAGGCCCAGAGAAAGGACAAGACTGGCCTTGCCTTCCTCGAAGGGTCAACTCTGGCACCACCTCCTCAGTGAAGTGTTCCCCGATCTCTCTCTCTTTTCTTCCCTCCCTTCTTACTCCCTTCCTCTATCCCCCTTTCCTCCCTCTCTCTCTCTCTCTCTCTCTCTCTCTCTCACTCTCTCTCTCTCTCTCTCTCTCTCTCTCTCTCTCTCTCTCTCTCTCTCTCTCTCTCTCTGACACACACACACCCCTTGTATTCACTTGGTTATATACCTATTGTTACTCTGCCCTAGTACAATGTAATCAACTAACGAACATTTATTAAGCTTCCACATTGTCCTAGGCACTGGGTATTCAAGTACAAAAAATGAAACCGTCTCTACTCCCAAAGAGCTTACATTCTAATGGGGAAGACAACAAGGACACATCAAAACATATACACATGCATACAAAATTAATAAATGCACACATGTCTTATGTAACTAAATATAATGTAGTTTGGAGGGGGGTGTGGAACATAAGCAGTTTGGGGCTGAGAATCAGGAAAGGCTTCATGCAGAAGGTGGTGCCTGAGCTGGATATTAAAGGAAGAGAAGGACTCTCTCTTCCTTACCTGGGATTAGGAAGACTTGAGTTTAAATACAGCCTCAGATATTTACTATCTGTTTGACTCTGGTCAAGTCATTTCACATCTGACTGTCTCAGTTTCCTCATTTGTAAAATGGGGATAATAATAGCACCTACCTCTCAGGGTTGTTGTGAAGATAAAATGAGATTATATTTGTAAAGTGAATTTTCAAACTTTAAAGCGCTTTATAAATACTACTTTTTATTGTGATGATGGTGATGATGATGATGATGTGAAGTAGAGGTGAGGAGGGATGGATGCATTCCTCCTTACATGAGGGATGGCTGGTACAAATGTGTGGAGATGGGAAATGGAGTCTCAGGAGTAAGGAATGGTGAGAAGACCAGATTGACTGGATCAGAGAAGACAGGAGTACAGTGAGGCTGGAAAAATAGGTGGGGGCCTAACTGTGTATGGCTTTAAAAGCTAAACAGATTTCAGGTATCACCTGAGTGAGGGAAGAGAGAGCAAGAGTACAAGAAAGGGGGAGAGACAGACAGAGACAAATGGAGAAAGAGATAGAGAAGGGAGAAGGGAGGGAGGAGGAGGGAGAAAGAGATAGAGGGAGATGGGGGGAGGAAGGGAGGAGGAGGGAGAGAAAGAGAGGGAGATGGGGGAAGGGAGGGAGGAGGAGACAGAGAAAGAGAGAGAGATGGGTGCAGGAAGGGAGGAGAAGGGAGAAAGAGGTAGAGGGAGTTGGGGGAAGGGAGGGAGAAGGAGGGAGAGAGGAAAGACAGGGGAGTGAGGGAGAGAGAAAAAGAGAGATGGAGTGAAGGGAAGGAGGAGGAGGGAAAGAGGGAGGAGGGAAGGAGAGTTTGTATTACATTCAAGTGGCAATATGAAGCCACGCAAGTTGGCTGAGTAGCAGTCATATCTAAGTGCCTTGAAACCAGAGGCTGTCTCCTTTTTGCCTTTGTATACCCTGGTGCCTTGTAAAAAATAAGTGCTTGAACATTTGCCCAGCTGAATTGGTCCAAGGTCACACAGGCAGTTGGTTAGTGGCAGATTGGAACCTTCCACTTAGGAGGCAGTGTGGTAAATTGGGAAGAGTTCTGCATGTGGACTCAAAGAGATGTGGGTTCATATCCTGGCTCTACCCCTTACTATCTATGGGACCTTGGATAAGGAAGGCATTATCTTTCTGGGCCTCATTTTCCTGCCCCGTAAAACGAGAGAGTTAAACTAGATGGTCTTTAAGGTTCCTTCGAGCTCTACATTTATCATCCCATGGACCCAGGCTGACTGATGTAAAGTCCTTATGAAGTATGTCTGATCTGCGTGTGGTTTCTTGCAGGTGAGGCAGCCCTCAATGAATACCTGAAGATCAAGACGGTCACTTTTGAATACTGAAAGAGAAGCTCCAAGTGAGGAAAAAGAGCCAGGCCCAGTGTTGAGTGAACCCCACTGCCTTCCCCTGCTCTCCCATCCTTCCTAATATGAGTCCCCTGGAGGGAAAGACAAAGAAGAAGGGCTTTCAGTCACCTGCATAATATGCCCAACCTGGGCCCTCCCTTTCCACTGGAGAAACACAACCCACATTTCATGCAGAATTCTGTCTGAGTTCAGGGAGCAAATCAGAAACTTGTTGAAAATTGGAGCACTACCTGGCCTTCTCTCTTGATTGGGATGGAAGGTTAAAAAGAAATTAGCATCTCTCTTCCTATCGTTTCTGGGTGCCTCCCATGATAAGACAGCATCCTGCCTCCAAGAGATCAACCAACTAATAGTACCCATCACTAATGAATACTTGGATGGGAAGGTCAAATACATACTGAGTGTGTTCTTTCCACTGGTACCCACATGGAGGCTGATGGCACCCAGAAGCAATCACACAGAATTTTAGTGCTGAAATTGAAAGGGTTAGAGCTGGAAAAGCCCTTTAAATTTAGACTATGTGAGATAGAAGAGCCTTTAGAACCTAGAAAATGAGAGATGGAAGAAACTCTAGAATATGGAATGCCAGAACAGAAGAGGGACTATCTTTCTATATGACATAGTTTCCATGTTTAGCAACCTCACTCCTCTTCCTCTTCTTCTGAGTCTTCTCCAACTGTATATTGATATTAGATATCAGAATATTAGATGACCTCTATTTTAGAGACCTTAGAAATTACCCAGTCCAACCTTCTATTTCTGTAGATGAGATGATTGAGAAAGTGAAGGGTCATGCAGTGGTAGGTATTCCATTTGGAACTCAAACCCAGATCTTCTGATCCATACTACCTCTTTTTCTACCATGCCATGCTGCCTCCCTAGAAATCCTTACAAAAATCAACTAACCAAGAAGTCATTATTAAAAATCTATTATGTGCACAACACCATTAGAAGCATTAAAGGGAATAAAGGAGAAAGAGAAGAAAATGTGGGTCAAAACGTAAGTGCTCCAAGTAACCAAGAGAAGAAAAAAGGGTAGACTGAAGGAGTCAGTGAAGGCTTCATGGAAAGGCAGATCTTGCAAAACCCTCCATCGTTCAACATGGGAGAATGACCACCTGAAACAAAAATGCAGTACTTTGGTATCATCACCCATATCTACATGACCTTCCCAAATCCAGAGGGCTAGGGACCCCATCTTTCCAGATTGGAGAATTTCTCTCTCTCTATCCCATTTCTCATCCTCTCATCCTTCTCTAAGAAGACTGTCCATATCTTGCACGTTGTTCTCATATATATATATATATATATATATACATACATAGAGAGAGAGCGAGAGAGAGAGAGAACATTCAAGATATCTTCTTCTCTAACCCCTTTCATCTTCTGCTTTTTTGTGTGTGTCTCAGATTCTAGTTGCAAACCCTCATGGCTCTTATACCTTCTTTTTTTACTTTTCTCTAATCATACCCACTGATCTTAGCCGCTCTCATCATATGTTAAAACAATCCTTTTCCGCATACGGAGGCCATGTTCCTGGGCTGGACAAGATGAGGTTCTGGTAGACGTTTCTTGACTCCTCCAAGACACGTTTACTTTTCCCATTCAATTTAATACAATTTCCACTCAACTCAACACGTGTTTATTTAAAAGTTCCTATGTGCTTTGGATTCAAAGACAAAAAACAAAATAATCTCTACCTTCAGGGAGCTTATGTTCTACTTTCTTTCTGCCAGTGTATATGTTACTTCCCATATGCCAAGGAGCCATGTTTTAACCAATGCAGGGACTCCCTTAATTGATGCAAATCACAACTTCTCTATACCTTACCAGATGGTTTTTGTGAATTGCTTTAGTTTTAAAAAAAAATTGTCACCCAGCAACCAACCTTTTTATGAATGTCTCCAAATTGAACTAGACTGATCCTACATAAGATGTGTAATTCACCACTGGGTCCAAACTTGGAGCCTTTCAAGGTTGGTAGGCATTTTTTCCCATCCCAAAGTTCAACCCAAAAAATTCTTGGGCAAATTTATATCCTAAATGTCCAATCAAATAGGTAAAATAATAGAATTCTGAATCCCCCAATATCATTAGACACTTGCACAATCAAATGAAACAAATCAATTCAGGATAGAATTAAGTCAAAAATCATGATCCGTAATTCTAGATGAACTCATAGGAAGAAAGAAACAGGTGTGATTGGAAATACCCTACTTGATCGTTCCATGAAGCCACAGGTGTTTAGAGTTGAAAGGGACCCTGGACATCCTCTAATTCAACCCCTTTCATTTAAGAGAAGGGGAAACTGGGCAGGGATAGTGGAGTTGAAAGAGAACAGGATTGGGAATCAGAGGACCCGGTTCTTGGTTTTTCCACTCACTACTTGTGCCACCCTGGGCAAGTCACTTAAATTCTGTGGGTCTCAATGTTATCACCTCTCAAATGAGAGGGCTAGATTAGTTGTCCTCTTAACTTTCCACTTTAAACCTATTATCCAGTGACCCAAAGAGACTCATGAAGTGGGAGAAGTCAAAGAGACTTTAAAGGAGCATCTAATCCAACTTTCCTCCCATTTTTCAGAAAGAAAAGTGAGACGCATTGAAGTCAGTTGCCAAAGCCCAAGATAACTCAGCTGATAAGTGGCAAAGCAGGGATTTAAATCCTGGTTCTTTGTATCCGCAAACATGGTTCTTTCAGTGTGCATATATGTGTGTGCATGTACACAGACACACACACACTTAACGGGTAGGAACATAGTGAAAAATATAGACTATTCAGCACAGAGGTTAACATTTCTTCCAACTTGTAGATTTAGAAAGAAATTACCCTTATCAAAAATGAAAAATGTTCTAAAATCAGGAGGAGGGGAATAACATAACTAGAATGGGAAAAGGAACTAGCTAGCCAACATTATCAAAAACAAAAACTGGGTCTTGGGAAAAGTGAACAAAACAATCCTTTAGCCAAGCCAACCTTGATAAATACACGATCTCAGAAAATGGTAAGGCCAGAAGGACCAGGGTTATTTTTCAGTCATGTCTGACTCTTTGTAACCCCATTTGGAGTTTTCTTGGCAAACATATTGGAATGGTTTGCCATTTCCTTTTCCAGCTCATTTTACAAATGAGGGAACTGAGACAAACAGGGTTAAGTGACTTGCCCAGGGTGACACAACTGGTAGGTGTTTGAGGCCAGATTTGAACTCAAGAAGATGAGTCTTTCTGACTCTTAAGCCCAACATTCTGTGCTCTATGGTGCCAGCTAGCTGACCGGAAGGACTCTTATTTTCAGGATCATAGGGTCTAAACTGAAAGCTGAAAAAGGCCTGAGAAGTCATCATATCCAATATCCTCATTTTACAATGCAGGAAAATGAGGCCCAGAGAGGTTAAGTCACTTTCCCAAAGTCACACGGATAGTAGGTGGGGCAACCATGCTTTGAACCCAGGTTCTCTGACTCCAAATCTGCTAGTTCAACACCATTGTTATACAAATCAGGAAACTGAGGTCAAAAGAGATGAAGGAATTTATCCAATGTCACACAGTGAATTAATGGCAGAATCAGGATACTTCTAATATACATATGTAAAATATATATAGATGTATATATTAAAAATTATAAAGGCAATATCACAACAATAAATAAAACATTTTCAATTTGCAAAATCACCATAGATATGTACCTACACATATATGTATGTAATGTGTATATAGTCAAGAAATTGGGAAATGACAGTTTTTTTATTTTAAAATTTTTAAATGCCAGAATCTCAGAGCTGAAAAGACCATTAAAAGTCCAACCTTATGCAGGCAGATGATAATCCAGCCACTGTTAACACACTTTTCTGGATTCGTGCAACTGGTCCAGAGTTGACCAGTGAGCTATGAAATAGCTAAATGCCTCTCTAGGGTGTGATGAAGTTAAAATAATCCCCCAAACAAAGCCCCAGGACCAGAGAACCATAGGAGAAAATGAGATCAACCCCAAGCCTGATCCTGCTCATATTTTACAAGGCATTCCCATCCCCTAATACATTTTATGAAACACTTCTAACCTCGATCTTGATGTCAGGCAACATCAAAAGTCAAAAAGAAAATGAAGGTTCACTAGATTGGCCATCTTTAAGGAATATGGTCATTAAAGTACTGCATGAAATTATTACAGTTAAAGGGATAGGGGCTGGATCTAGGGTATCACAGATATAGGGGAACTCCTTGGATAGGGAAGTTCCCTCTGCCAGTGAAAGTTAGCACCTTCCCTTCTGCCTAGAGCAGAGGCCATGGCCTGTAGCTGCCTAAAGTAAGTAAGGCCTGAACCAGATTAAAATGTAATTGGGAAATATTTAATGAAATAAATAAAAATTATAATAGAACACAGATAATGTCAATATGTGCCTTTCTAAGTCAAGATGTGGCAGGCAGGGATCCTTATGTGTACTATTGCTTTTATTTGAGTTGGACACCACTGGCGTAGATGGTTAAGTGCCATACCCAAGATCACATTGCTGGCACGTTTCAGAGGGAGGGCTTGAACCCAAGTCTTTCTGACTTTCAGGCCACCTCCCTATCTACCACATCACATTAATGTCATGCAGACATATTCAAACTGAAGAAGTCTACCTACACTGTCCATAAGCAAAGATTATTCAATATTTAAAAGACAGTCAATATAATTACTCACATGTAGATAGCATTTTGAATGATACAACATAGCAAAATTTATGGGATGCAGCCAAAGTAGTACTTAGGGGGAAATTTATATCTCTAATTGTTGACATCAATAAAATAGAGAAATAGGAGATCAATGAATTGGGCATGCAACTAAAAAAAATTAGAAAAAGAACAAATTAAAAATCTCCAATTAAACACCAAATTGGAGATCCTGAAAATCAAAGGAGAGATCAATAAAACTGAAAGTAAAAAAAAAAAATATTGAACCAATGAATAAAACTAGAAGCTGCTTTTATGAAAAAAAAATGGATAGACCATTGGTTAATATGATTAAAAAAAGAAAAGAAGAATGAAGTCTACAAAAATTTTCATGTGCCTCATCTTAGCAGCTCCTCACAAAAGTCTTTGGAGGTAAATAATACAAGTACTATTATCCCCATTTCACAGATTAAAAAACAGGCAAAAGTGATGATAAAATGGGTTTGCCTAAGGTCATGTGCCTAGTGAATAGCAGATCTCATTTCAAATCCAGTGTTTCACATATAAGAAAAATAAGAATTAATATTAGCAAGAGAGGCTGGCATAATGGACTGAGTGCTGGCCATGGAATCAGAAAGAACTGGCTTTGTGGCCATGGAGAAGTTATTTAACCTGTTGGTGCCAAGGGGGGGCTCTCTAAGACTTCAAGTTACAGCATCTGAGTTAGTGGAGGGACTGTCCACA